ATAAGTCAAGGGAATAGTGAAGGGTATAAGTCAGGGAATAGTGAATAAGTCAAGGGAATAGTGAAGGATATGAGTCAGGGAATAGTGAATAAGTCCAGGGAATAGTGAAGGATATGAGTCAGGGAATAGTGAAGAATATAAGTCAAGGGAATAGTGAAGGATCGAGTCTCTGGCTATAAAAAGAAGCCCCTACCTACCTTAATCCTCGAACACCAAACAGCCCACATCCAACAAGTCCCTTCTTCCATCAAACCAAAACATAACCTTCCCACTCTACGAAGTCTGAAGAGCTCATTTCACCCACTTCCGTCGATAATTCCACCTCGCGCGAACTCTCCTTATTCTTACACCACATCGTTCCAAAGATGCCGTACTATTTCCTACACGGGACAGTGTCCCAGACCGAAGTCGAGTCAACTCAACTGGCCAAAGAGCTATCAGAGAAGCTACAGCAAACGCGACTTCAAGACTTGACTGTGGTGACGGGGTACTACGACCACGAAGACGTAGGGCGAGTATTTGTATACACTTGCCTGGAAGATAGCCCACGGGAGATGACGATCTTGGAAGACATGAGGCAGTTGTTGAACGCGAAAACCAAGACGCTCGACGAGGTGGTCATAGACGCCAAGAGGCCTGATCGCGCATTCAAGATTCAAAAGTCTTTGGAGGATCCCAGTGAATCCCGTCTTCGCAAAGGAACCGTCGTCAAGATAGCGGCGGAGCAGCAAGCGTTTCTCGTCCGGTTGGGCAAGCCCGACCCTGATGCATTGATGGCTCACATACTCAACACCCTCTCTCATTTGGCTCCCGAGCGCTCTTGAGAAGACCATTCTTCTTTTTCCTTTTTCTGTTGATGCCGGAGCTCGCCAAACAGCGGGAGCTCGTTCGTTCTTGAAGAAAACACATCTGGTATGGAGTGTTACATGTACTGAGAATTACCGAATTACCGAATGATAATTCTAACATCTGGCAGCACGTGACAGGGCAGGCTTGCCCTCAGCCTATTGGTGAAGACAGCTCGGGTGTTTTCTAAATCTCCACTTTCTTCTTCCTGTATTAGCATTGTTATTACTCCGTACATTGAATGATCACCCCAAGATTACTGTTAGCCTGAATCTCCATCCTCTCCCATTCAGCGCCGTCAAATCCATCCAGTCGGTAGAGGTGAGCCGCATTGCCTTAGGAAGAAGTGCTCCCGACAAAAACAACCTCGACTGCCGTGAAGCTACACCACGTTAGCACGGCTATCCCAAGTGGACGATCTGAGACTTACGCGGTTGTAGCCGCAAAGATGTCGCTCGACTTTCCCATTGTCACCGCGGATGTTATCATGGCAAAGATCCCTGTGAATACAAAAATAAACAGCACTCTAGCCCACATCGGCTTGATGATCCAGAGGAAAGCAATTGCAAGTGGCGGCATCATCGCCGATACACCCGCCACGATGGCTCTGCTGATGTACTCTAGCGTCTCGTCACGATAGATTCTGTAACCGGGACTGTTTGGTGGCTTTACAACACCGTCAGTCCAGTCTCCGAGTCCTCAGGCTTTGACCAACGCACCTCATTTCGTCTACCCACCAAATAGTCATACATGTTGACCACCCTCTCACGGACAAACCTCGTCACGAGGTCCCCGCGTCGCTCACGGAAAGGTAGTATCAGAAAATCGTTCTGGTTTGCGATCGACCAGATCGATCTCTCTAGGCCAAAGGGGAATGCGACACCCTCTCGTTCCTCCATGTACCGTCTCAGACGTTCTGCCTCTTCGTCGGTCGGTCTGGGAGCTCGACGCAGTTCCATGACTTGGAGAAGCGCCGTGTCTGCTCAACATACTCGTCAGCATGCGGGGTTTCGAATTTATCGACGAGACAAGGCTTGCGACGTCGAGGTCGGGAAAGGCCATCATACTGTATTCCGTCACCTTGGTGCATATTTCCTGCATCATCGCAACTTGCACTTGACCATGCTCCTCGTCTTCTCGCATTGCCGAGTAGTCGATCGCGAATGCGCTTCTGGCACCGGAATTCGAGGCGGCGTTCTGATCTTGGGTTGCTCTGAGACCCGATTCCAGATGGTGCAGTTCTGCTTGGAGATACAGCAACTTTTGCATCTGGAGCCAGCCGAACTCCCGGAAGATTGCTGCGTCGCTAGCGGCGGCCATCGTGTTGGCCAGACGAGGGTAGCCGGCGACAGGCTCGGGCGGTGGTTGGGCCTGTCTGTGTGATTAGCTTCTGGAATCAGAAAATGCCGGGGAGGAGTGAAAACAGTAGGGAGCGACATAGCGGTTGCTAATTGTGCTGACCAGGGCGGAGGTTGAGTCTCTAAGTGTGGTCAGCTTCTGGGAGCAGAAACAAGCCGGGGAGGAGTGAATACAGAAAGAGTGACAATGCGGTCGTTGTCCCAATCAACGAGGACTCTGATTTTGTACGAAGACAAGAACGGGCATTGGGGACCTTTTATGCCTGTGTTTTCTTGCGCTTCCAAGGTGACTCTTCCCCCTCAGCGAGATCGCGATTGCAATCGCACGCTTGTAGGGGCCGGATCTTGTCAATCTGCGCTCGCAATGTCTTGTTCCGGGCCTCGACTGGTCTTCCAAACGGTCTCCTGGTGATCATGCGAGATCGGCTCCGTATGAATTCTTCCCGCTATTGAAAAGCGTTTGCATCCGCCGCTGCGATGACGCTTGGATTCCGGTGTCGATACCCGAGTCAAGGCCATCTACAGTGGTAACCGATGGTTTACCGGTTATGTCTCACCGAAGGCCCGCAAACTCGACACTTGTCGTGATGCTGGCTCATATTGCTGCCAAACGAAAGACCCCGGCCAGATGCGCAGGTGGTGCTGCTCCGGCGGGATTGATACGAGGCGCAAGGATCCGCGTTTGCTGTAGAGCATCCGATCGCTGGATATCGAAAGACTGAGTGTTCTTCAAGGCCAACAAGGTGGTGATCTATCTTGGTGGCAGGGTATGTCTCCTCACCAAGCAGCTCCCGCCTTCATGTCGAGAATCACCTAGTCAACAGACCAGCCCATTTTACAATGTGCCAATCACCCAGCCACCCTGTCTCAAAATTGAGGGGCTGCTGCACGGAGATGTTTGCTTCCCCCTTTTTAACATGGAAAGCAGATCCGAGACTTCTTCCCTCTTCTCACATTTCACTTTATCTGTCAATTGTTCTTCCAGCTTTCTCTGATTGTTTCCTAGTTTGAAGTTGCCGTGATCATCGCCCTCGTCATGGATGCGTTTTCTGTGGGTACAGCTGGCCTCGGAATCTGTCACTTGGCGAGCGAAGCCGTCTGCAAGTTGAAGGAGGTAGAGTGGACGGAAGCTCAAACACCCGAAGCGCTCGATGATTTGGTAATTTACGTGGAAATTCTGAAGGAGACGGTGAATACGATATTCCGCTCACGTCAGGGCTTTCGCCCTGTGCTCAAACCCAATCTTCGTTTGTGCTTAGGAAGTGTGCGGTCCTTGGAGGCACTGGCTAAGGAGCCGCTGCCAGGGCTGAAACCGTCAGATCTTTCTGAAGCTTCTGATCGTTTTGTGCGGTCAGTGAAGTTACTGCGCAGTGTGGTGGCTGAGTATGCTAGTCGTTTACCAGATGTTTTGGATCCTACTAACAAGCTGCAGTGCGGCCATTCACAGAGTCCTTGAAACGCAATGGGAGATACTCCAGAACCTCTCGACCACCCTAGAGGCTCAAAGTCGCACCCTGAACAGCATCCGGCAGTCTGTCAAGTCACAAGGCGCTGTTGAACTTGGCGATGACAATGAGGGTGAACAGACCTCGGCAAGCCTATTCATTCGCTTCTTCCGAACTCATGAATGGCCGGAACCATTCGATTGCAATTTCCCGGCAACGGTGCTATGTCCCGACCAAGACGACCCCAAAGAATCAGAGTGCGCTGGACTACTGGACACCGGGAGCCCTATCAACTTGGTATCCTCCACGCTAGTGGAAAAGCTAGGGTTGTTCCACTGCGCCAAACAATTGGAACCCTCCAAAGTAAAGACGTACGATGTTGGTAACGGGGAACATGTTCGACCCGATAGACTCATTACACTCCATTGGAAACCAACCGGGCATTTGAAGTTCGTGAATACTCCCGAAGGTACAAGCTTCCTGGTGCAAGAGAGCCTTCCGGTCGAGTTGCTTCTCGGCCGTCAGTTTCTCCTGCCTGAGACCAGGAAGTTTGAACAAGAGGGCGAAATCCGGTGGCCCAAGGACTTGGCTGTATTTGTGCCGTCTGGTCCTAAGATAAGTACGTCAGCTCCCCCAGAACCGATATGAGGCTATTCTAACAACACCCAGAAAAGCCCCTGGGGGAAAAAGACTTGGCTTCCTTGAAACAGAGTTCGAAACGCGAAGAGGAGCAAAAGCAGAACGCGAAGAAGAATTACCACGAACTGCAGCGAATTGTGCAGGCGGGGAAGCAAACACAAGCCCCGCGGCCAGGGTCATCGATGTCAATGCAGCCGTCTCAATCGCAGCCAGGCGCGTCAAGAACAGTTGCTGCGACCGGACCCAGCGCGGCCACCGCAGCGAACACCTTGGAGCCGTCAACTTCCGCTTCCCGACAGGGTGCGGCCACTTCCCGGCCGACGACAAAGCCGTGATGTGATGCCTTCAGAGTTCGGTCTTCTCGTGAACACTCCCCTCAGTCATTTTGGGCCACGCAAATCCCTCCAATGTTGCGTGCCTTTGTTTCATTTCGGGTTTTGTAGAAAGGAGCTTCAGGAACTGGATGCTAATAGTGTCAAGACTCATCGTTATTAATAGCTTCAAATGGATGTTCTAGCAGATTGTTCGAGTTGGGGCACAGACCAGTCCGACACTGTAGTAGAGCTGGTTCTCATCTTCAAAGGGTTGGAGATGGAGAGCAGACTTGTAGTTGTAGATAGAGCATCCTACTCAGCCTGATGGCTCAGCCCAACGAATCGTCCGCCAGTAGACATTCGATATAGGTAGGCTAATCGGAAGGGAGTACGGAGTAGGTACTCGAGTTGGGCTCTCGAGAGAAAGAATAATTCTCTGCTGTACGGAGGGCTGGAATTTGATCCCCACTGACTTTGCGTTACTTCCACGCTCTCTCACGAAGGGCTTGGCAGCCACTCTGGTTGCAGAATTACAATGCCACGCATTTTGTTTTCAAAGCACACCATTTCATGATGGTGGCAGGTGCGCCGGGCGCATTTCTGTTCAATGGAGTACACAAAGCTCAAGCTGTATTGTCGCTACATATGCAGTGCTTTCCGATTGTTCCTCCGATAGTGTGGCTGTTACAGATACCACTGGCGGCGGAGCGCATATGCCGGAAACACTCATGTACATATATATGTTAGTTGTGTATAGAGAGAGGTTGAGTGGTGATTTGCCACTTCGGAGGGCTGCGCTGAGCATCATCTTTTCTGCTTCCGGACATTCTCGATCGTCGATCTTCGCATCTTTTCTCTGTCATTTGGAATTGAGAACGCGTTGCTACGGAGTAATCTTGATCCTCGAGGCTTCCCAGGGAGGTGTTCTGGGGATCTGGAGATTCATCGTTTGCGTCATTCGCCTCTGGGGTCTTCCACCTCAATTCCCTCTGCCAACCTCCCGCCATTCCAGGCCTGATACCTTGTGCTTTGTTTCCAGCTCTTGATTAATTGAGTCCAAAATTGTTCCTGGGTTTGTTATTCTTTCTGAGTTGCGGGAGAACCCCTCTCGCACAACCCAAGCCGCTCCGCCGCCAACCACCTTGACGCTGCGTCTTCCCAAGTTCCCTCGCTCCGCTGCGGTCTCGCCAGCCCAACAATCAGCCCCTCTTTTACACCTCCCACCTCCATCTTTTCCTCTCGCTCCTCGCGGTCGCACATTTCTCGCCGCCCGGAGTCATGGAAGGCGTCGACCTTCAGTCTGTCATCAACAAAGGCAAGCAGATGGCCTCCAACGTGGCAGCCTCCGCCACCAACGGCACTACCAATAAGAAGAGGAGAAAGGGAACCGACTTGAAGCCCATCGTCACCAGCGATTCCGCGACCCCTGCCGACCAAACAGCCCCGGCAAGCGATAGGTATGCTGTTCGTTCCATTTCGCTTCCCCCTCTTTTCTCGCGTTTCCTTCTAACGAACCGATACTAGTGTCCCGCCGTCACGATCTGGCTCCTCGTCCTCCGAAGAAGAAATCGAAACAACCGCCGAAGAAGAAGATTCAGAAGACTATTGCAAAGGCGGCTACCACCCCGTCCAGATCGGCGAACTCTACAATAATGGGCGTTATGTCGTCGTGCGCAAGCTGGGTTGGGGTCACTTTTCGACCGTTTGGTTATCTCGCGACACCACGACGGGGAAACACGTCGCGCTCAAGGTTGTCCGATCGGCCGCCCACTACACCGAAACCGCCATCGACGAGATCAAATTGTTAAATCGCATCGTGCAGGCCAAACCCTCCCACCCGGGCCGGAAACATGTCGTCAGTCTCCTGGATTCCTTCGAACACAAGGGGCCCCACGGGGTCCACGTTTGCATGGTATTCGAAGTGTTGGGGGAGAACCTTCTCGGCCTGATCAAGAAATGGAACCACCGGGGTATCCCTATGGCATTGGTGAAGCAGATTACCAAGCAGGTACTGCTAGGTCTGGATTATCTACACCGGGAATGCGGAATCATTCACACCGATCTGAAGCCGGAGAACGTCCTGATTGAAATCGGCGACGTCGAGCAAATCGTCAAAACATACGTGAAGGAGGAGGCGAAGAAGGAACAAAAAGAGGACAATCGCAACGGTCGGCGGAGGCGCAGGACGTTGATCACCGGGAGTCAGCCGTTGCCCAGCCCTCTCAACACAACCTTCGAATTCAAGCACCACTCCCAAAATTCCCACAGCAGTCTCAGCCAAGTTGTCAATGAGTCGACAGGTGAGAGTGCCCGAATTAAAAACTGGGCTATGCTGATCGAATAGGCACATCGGAAGCCCCGTCGATGAGGCAGTTACTCGGCATCAAGGATGAAGATGAGCAGCAGAAGCAACGAGAAAAGACTGCGTAGGTATATAGACAGTTTGAGCGAACTTCACTAACAACGATAGTGACCTATTGGAACGGGAGGTTTCTGGAATCTCGCTCGACAAGCCATCCTCAAGCGACGACGACATCGACTGCGGCATCATTTCCGTCAAGATTGCTGATCTGGGTAACGCATGCTGGGTCGGCCACCACTTTACCAATGACATCCAAACTCGCCAATACCGTTCACCCGAGGTCATTTTAGGATCCAAATGGGGCGCTAGCACCGATATCTGGAGCATGGCTTGCATGGTACGTTTCTCTTGGACGTGTTACGCCAACAGCTAACCCGTGCAGGTCTTTGAGCTAATCACCGGCGACTACTTGTTCGATCCCCAATCAGGAACTCGCTACGGCAAAGACGACGACCACATTGCGCAAGTCATCGAGTTGCTCGGCCCATTCCCAAAGTCCCTATGTCTTTCAGGCCGGTGGTCCCAAGAGATTTTCAATCGCAAAGGCGAACTGCGCAACATCCACCGACTCCGTCACTGGTCGTTACCCGATGTTCTCCGAGAGAAATACCACTTCTCAGTGGCCCAAGCCAAGGCCATCAGCGACTTCCTCCTGCCGATGCTAGAAGTACTACCGGAGCGACGAGCCAACGCCGGCGGAATGGCATCTCATGAATGGATGAAGGATACCCGAGGAATGCAAGAGGTGGATTTGGGTCTTACGCCCGGCAGTCGAGGTGAAGGGATCGAGGGTTGGGCGATGGAGGTGAAGCGAAGATAACCACCCGCGGATTGACACCGATATAACGACACTATATGTCTCGAGCGACGATTTTCCTTCATCTGTCATGATTTCCCTGCGCATTTTCCACATCTTGGGCTGACGACTAATTGGGTTGTCCGTGACCGCTCCTCCGTACATTCTATAACGTCCTCAACTCTCTCTACAATCCCCACCTATCCTACTCATTCTTTACCCCATAGAGTCTGCTTACCTGCCCCGTCCCTCACATTTCGCCTGCCTAGACGCCCTACGGGGTAGCGACGTCGGAGACGGATATATTACGCTGGTTCAATTATTATCGCACGATGCTTCATTTACGATTCGGAATATCTGATGGTTCTGATATCTGTTGTACGTATGGGATTTGCGTTGTCTGAAGAATAGGGCTGCAATCGATGAATTCTGAGATGCTGAACGGACTCCGTCTGTAATCGGAGCTTATCATCGAACATATTGATTCTCGGTCCCATTCTCATCTTCCTCATCCCCTGATACCTCACTAGGCAAGTCCGCAGGGAACCACCCAAACCGCCCAAAATCCACATAGAACTCCCCCATGCTGTCACTCGTTACCTCGACGCCCTCTTCCCGGAGAACCTCCGCTTGCCTCTCCGCGCTCCCCGGCCCGCTGTCCCCGTAGTTAGCTGGCCCATTATCCCGCCCTACCACAAAACGAGAAACTAACCGATGCGAAATCATCCCCTTGGAATTCACCACCCGCTGCCACGGCACGTTCCCGCCGTGGAAGTACTCTCCGCTTCCCGCTGACGGCAGGTGCTTGAGGCAGACGCCCACTTGGCGCGGGCGCTTTGCTGTTCGACCATTAATCTTTATGTCATCCAAGAGTTGGATGGAAATGGTTGGCGGATTCCGTACGTTGACCTAGTAGTAGCGCGATATGGCCGTAGGATGTTACCTTGCCCGGCGGGATCTCGCGCACCGCGGCGTAGACGGCGTTAAACCAATGCTCTGCCTCGTCTGATCGTGGCATCTTTCTATTTTAGATTCCAGCTGCTCGGCTTGGATGGTGTTGATGACTTCTGCGCGCGAGCACGCTGTAGCCTGTACTACACCATACCTCCCTACCCCGGACAAACCCATTATCCGGCCTCCTCCCCATCAATCCTCCGCCGCCAAGCCCAGCCAGCCCAGCCCAAACCCGTCTACGCGATTCATCGGCTCCATCGGAAGCAGAGCTCAAACAACACTACCACCCACCTGCCTCTCCGTTTCTCCCCGTCGAAGCGAAACCCCAACAAACACACAATGCCCTCCTCCTCGCTCGCCGAATACCTCGCAAAGAACTACCTAACCGCCGACCCCGCGCCCCCAACCGAGCGCCCGAAGAAGAAGCGCAAGAAGACGAAAACCGCCGAGCCGGACGGCCTCGTCATCGCCGACGACGACCCGCCCGACCTGCGGAGCACGGCTGCGCTGAAGTCCAGAGAGACGGACGAGTACGGCCCTGCTGTTGTGGCGGGCGCGCGGAGCGCCGAGTTCCGCCGGAGCAAGAAGAGCAACTGGAAGACTATCGGGTCGGGTACGAATACGGCTACGGCTGCGGCTACGGGGCGGAATAGCGGGCGCGATGAGGCGGATGCGATATTAGCGGATGCGATGGCTGAGGAGGAGGCGAGGCGCGCGGCGGGCGATGAGGATCCGATGGTTGTTGAGCGGGATGAGGAGGACGAGGGCGGGCTACGCATGGAATCGGGCGCGCGGGCGGGTCTCCAGACGGCGGAGCAGACGGCTGCTATGGTTGCGGCGCAGCAGAGGAGGAAGAAGGCCGAGGAGGCGCGGTATAAGGGGGTGGACGAGGGGGATGGGCAGGAGACGATCTACCGCGATGCGTCGGGGCGGATCATCAATGTTGCGATGAAGCGGGCGGAGGCGCGGCGCGTGGAGGAGGAGAAGAAGGTGCAGGAGGCGCAGGCGAGGGAGGCGCTTATGGGGGATGTGCAGCGGGCTGAGAGGGAGGAGCGGAGGGCGGCGCTGGAGGAGGCGCGGGTTATGCCGTTGGCGCGGAGGGCGGACGATGAGGATCTGAATGAGGAGTTGAAGGCGCAGGGTCGCTGGAATGACCCTGCGGCGCAGTTTCTTACGAAGAGTTCGGGCGGGGCGAAGAGTCGGACGGGGAGGCCGTTGTATCAGGGGGCATTTCAGCCGAATCGGTATGGGATTCGGCCGGGGCATCGGTGGGATGGGGTGGATCGGTCGAATGGGTTTGAGAAGGAGTGGTTTGCGGCGAGGAATAAGAAGGGGAGGATGGAGGCGCTGGAGTATGAGTGGCAGATGGATGAGTAGATGTACTACTCCGTAATTTGTCGTGCTGGACACGAATGTAATTCTATTCTTCAAGATAACAACCATACAAGAGCCTCGGCTATGACAGCCTCTGGAGTCTGTGCAACCTCAGCCTCTCGAGAGCTTCAAATGCCGTCATCGAGCAGCCAGCCGCAGCGCGGTATTTATTCTGCACGCGAGGGAAGCGCTACACCAAGGCCTGGCCATGGTAAGCTTACATCAAACTTCCGGTCCAAGAACTACTCGTACGCTATCCAGGACGTGATTGCACGAGGCAGGTGACAGTGATCAGCTGCAGCGAGAATGAGACGCATGATAAGACCAGCCTCCGGCCTCGGGGAATGCAAAGCGCATCATCCACCACCGCATGACATCACCTGGCAAGTGACAAGCGATAGCAGAGAACGTGCCTGGCCTGGCCTGAGGCTATGGCTGACTTGGGGATGGCTGGTTCCGGCTGGTGCTGCGACAAAGCCTCGGGACCGTCGGCTGGGTTGGCTACAGTACGGAAAGGGAGGGGACGAAAATAGAGTGCGTGGTTGTTCCATCGAATTCCCGGGATGAGGGGAAGGTGCGCGATCGATAGGCCACTGCGGTTCGTTATCAGTCTCAGTGTCATGGCTCGATGACTGCTCCTGCCGCAAACAGCATCGCCTCCTCTCTTCTCGCCGCCCAGACCTCTTGCTTGGTGATGATGGAGCGCCTGGTCATGGTCATGATAAAGCCTAAACTCCCGGGCTGACTGCCTTGACGGTCCCTGACCCTGACTTTGCCAAACAAGGTCCCCGACTTCAGTTCTGGGACCCTTTGACCTGGAGACTTCTTCTTTCTTCTGCCTGCTACCCCTTTGTTCTGCTCTTTCATGACACAGGGGTGACTGCTTCTTTGTGACTCACCCGATCTATACTGTCGCAAGCGCCATACCTACTGAGCCTCGCTCATTACTCATACCTCCGTCCTCTTTCTGCGCCGCTTCTCTTTCTCCTGTTCTATATTTCCGCTGTTACCTAGTTTAGGCGCTTCCTCTGAGAACCTACAAGACCAACTACGTCCCGCTCTTCTACCTCCTCATATACTTCGACCTCCACTCTTGTATACGTCACGCCGCCATGTCTGGCTCGTTTGACAACAGCGACTTGCGCCAGGCTGGCACGGCGGCCAAGCGAGTTCACGACCACAAAGCCAAATGGGTCCATGGCGGTCGATCCGCCCGCCCCGGCCATGCCCTTCTTGACGACGTCCTCCCGATGACCCGTCCCGCGAAGCAGCAGTCGTACGTATCCCTCAGGTTCCCTCAGGTATATCCCATCCATGCTAACGGCCGTAGAACATCGTGGAACCGACGGCAGCGAGTGCGCGATGCCCAGCACAACTCCACCCTTGCAAAGGTCGATTTGCGACACGATGTACGCGAGGCTCTCGATGAGGGTACTTCCGACTCGTCCGGCGTAGAGGATCACGGCGATCTCGCAGTCGCAACGACCATGCCCGAAGTGTTCCACGCAGAAGGCCCGGTTGACCTGTACGAGGTGACGGGACAGACGCTCTTCAACGACGTCGTTGACAAGGCAGTCGAGAAGTTCGAAGTAAAGGAGACGGAGAAGCTGGTCAAGGAGTACGAGTTCATCACCCGCGAGAGCGAGGTGTCCATCGGCTACCTTGCCGACGAGGACGACTTTGAGCTCGTTGACCATGTGAAGCTTTAATTCCGCATTCTTCTTCTTACCTCGCGAGCGTTTTGTATTATCAGCGACGGACGGAGTTGGGCTAGAGCTTTTGATTTGCATTAGATGATTTGGAGTCTTTTGGCGCTTTGAGGCATGCTGCGTTGTTGATTTGGCGGTCATTTGGCGGCGGCAGCAGCTGTTCCGGACTGCAGATGTATTTGGATATTCCTATCGATCAGAATGAACGTATATAGATAGCGATCACTTCCTGGCGATGTTCGTAAGAGTACGGTAGTGGAGCGGAGTTGGAGAGGGACGTAAAATGAGGGGAAGCGATCGCTGCCTCAGCTCCGACCGCGAAGCGAACGGTCTGGACCTTCTGCCAACAGTATTCCGGTGTGGTCAATCACAGAGACTAGGTATTGGCATCAGAGGGATTTTATCTCTAATTAAAGAACGTCCTGAAGGTGAGTTGAGCGACGTGAATGCAGTTGCTGGGCTGGCTGGATTGTTTACAAACAAAGGAACGGAAAAAGTCTGGATCCTGGAAATCCTCCGCAGACCAACCTCGACCACTCCGCACTCGCACCTCCATCACCCATCCTTTGATTCGTCTCCAGCTCACCGTCGGTATCCATCTGCTGCCATGGATAAACGAACTGCTGAAAGTCCGATGGACTTCGAGTGGCAGTCGAGAGCCCCCGGAGATGTGACCTCGCCGTTTTACCAGCTCAGCATGCAGCACGACAACCAGAAGAAGCGTACGTTTTCATCAACCGTCAGCCCTTCCCAACTTTTTAAACTCACCATCGCAGGCTCACATAACGTGTTCGACTCCCCCGAAAAGAAACAGATGCCTGCCCTCCGCGAGCCGAACTCCCAGCCCTTCCTCTTCTCGCAAACGAGACCGCCCGCCCCAGGGACGCCGAAATCCGCATTCGCCCAGCCCGCCTTCATGACGCCGCGCAAATTCGATCTCGACTTCTCGTCCGGCGCCGAGAACATGTCGTCCCCCGAGAATGCGGATAACGATGATACCCCGGAACAACCTACGAAGACTGGCCATCGGAATTCGCTTTTCGGAATGTATGGACGTTTTGCGCCAAGTCCTGGGAGAGGCGAGATCCCACGACTGAGCCACTATTCCAATGCGGCGGCACGACGGGTTCACAAGAGACGGCTGCGAAACAAGGCGTTGAATCTACAAGTGCAGAGGGATAGCGATGACGAGAGCGATCGGCCGAGCAGCAGCGAAGGGAAGAGCAAGCCGAAGGGCGTGAAGAGTGGGAAGCAGGCGTCGCCAGCATCCTCATTCAAGAAGTTCTTCACGTTGGTGGAGGCCCATCCAAACGTCCCCAACATCCTGTCATGGTGGGCGCAACTTGCTCTCAACTTCTTCATTTTCTCCATGGCCGGCTACGTTATCTGGGCTATCGTGTGGACCATACGGGCGGAGTTCGACCAAGCGGCGGAGGCTGCGTCGGATACGATCTTGGCGGAGATGGCGGCCTGCGCAAAGGACTACGTTGACAATAGGTGTGGCGGAGGTGATCGACTGCCGGCTCTGGAAACCGTTTGTGCCAATTGGGAGCGATGTATGAACCGCGACCCGGCCAAGGTTGGGCGGGCCAAGGTGTCGGCTCACACCATGGCGAGCATCATCAACAGCTTCATAGACCCGATCAGCTGGAAAGCTATTGTAAGTCGAGTGGACTCAATCAGGATCGAGCACCGAGCTAACCTGCCCAGATGTTTTTCCTCGCTACCATATCGACCGTCACGGTTGTCAGCAACTGGTCGTTCCGTTCGTTCAGAAATCGTTACAATCACGACTACGCCTCTCCACCCCCTGATTACCAGCGACAACCATCCGGCCAGCATCATACGATACCTCCACAGTTTTCGGCGCAGCATCCCCAGTTCGGATATGCAACGCAACGTCAGGATAATATATCCGGGTTTGATAAGCAGGACGTGCCCCTGCTCCTCGACCATCCCCAAGCAATGAATATCACCGACCGTAGCCGGGAGAGAGCCAGGAACCCCCGCACCCCGAGTCCCGTCAAACGCGGACGAAAGCTTCTCTGATTCCATTCACTTCTCCAAGCATCAGCGACCGGACCAGGCGTTTTGTTTCTGTATCGTCGGCTTATTTTAGTTTGATTTTTGGGGATAGAACTGGGTTTCAGGAACAGGGATTATCACGTCATGATGGCATTTTATTTGTACATACACAGCTGCATCGACTGAAATTAGCCGGCTTGTTTGCATTGCATGAGACCTGGAGCAGTAGGGAAATTCTGGAGGGCTACACCAACCCTGTATGATGTTACCCGGCCACCAAGGTTCTGCAGGTTGGTGCATCACGGACTACAAAGTGCGAGGAAGATTGGACGATACGGTGCTCGTGGGCTAGACCCGTGCCTAGCCGACAGCAAGGGACTAGGCGTGGAGACGGATATCATCATCAACACCTGCAGCGGATATCGATCATCGATGCGGGCAGAGGCAAGTCGATGTTTGATTCTGTTCTCCGCGACGCCGACACAGGAGCTGAACTTATGCAGGTCGTGCCCGCAGTCGCCTCTCAAACCGACCATTCCCCTGAGACCTGCTGGACACAACGACGAATGAATGCCGCATCTACCCCAACAAAAGTCGCGAAGAATCCAATCTCGACATGACGATTGTGTTTTGTGTGATTGCTGTGGTTACATGGCTTTGGGCCAAGAGCGCTGATCGCCGGTCAATATCGCGCAGTCCAACCACAGCCCCGGCTCTCCTCTGCAGCGCTGTAACCCAAGCCCTGCAAACTCTTGGACCGACTTCCTCCGCGAATCGTTCCCACGCCTCCAAGCCTTCCATCTGCAGCCGGGGACGAGCTTCTTTGTTATCTCTCCCCCCCGCGGGTGATATGCCCGAGATAGAATGACCTCCTTCCTATACGGCAGTAGTACAGGTAGTATGGCAGGCGGGTTACTGGCTTGGCGGCCTGGCTCACGGGGGATGTTGTCTTGGCTTCGGCGTTGATGGCCATGCTCGAAAGCTATATAAGGCGTGTGCGACCCGATGGGAAATTCCAGCGATCACCTCCCTCACTCCAATCCTCCCGGGCCTCCCAATCCACCATGAAGCTCTCCGCTCTGTCTCTCCTCTCCGTGGCCTCAGTGGCGACGGCGTCACTCCACGGCGCCGAGACCATGGAGTACCTGATGTCTCTGAAGCAGCAGTCTCGAGACCGTGCCCGCGCCCAGGGTCTGTTCAATCTCAACCGCTACCCCGACCAGGGATACAAGAAGTGCACCAATGGAACAGCGGGAGAGTACTCTTGCGGGAATGTCGACCTCCTGAGCTTCCTCAGCCACCAGGCTCTGGGTAGTTCCACCCGTGAGGGAAACGATGTCTGGGGTGAGCATCCATCTTTTTGCTGCCTTAGAATTGAGCTAACGCAAGCAGGTTGGACTTCTGCCGAGGGTCGTGAGTTTGGCATTGTCGGCCAGACCGACGGCGTTGCCTTTGTTGAGATCCTTGAGGATGGCAGCCTTGCGTACATTGGCCGCTTGGGGAGCCAGACTGACCCTTCGACGTGGCGCGACATCAAGGTGATCGGTGACCATGCGTACATCGGCTCCGAGGCCGTTGGACACGGGTTGCAGATCTTCGACCTCAACAAGGTGCGATGCCTCCGTCGCTATCCTACCTTCTCTCGCAAGGCATCGGTTGCTGACGTTCACAGTTGACCACCACCTCCAGTCTGAAGCCGACTGTCTTCTCCACCACGGAGGACCTGACCGCTTGGTACGATGGCTTTGGTAGCTCCCACAACATCGTTGCGCACGAGGAGACCAACACCATCTTCGCCGTCGGCACGTCCCGCAGCCTCAGCTGCGCCGGAGGTCTCTGGATGGTCGACGTCTCCGACCCTGCCAATCCCTTCTCGCCGGGTTGTGCCAGCGAAGACGGCTATGTCCATGATGGTACGTTGCAAACCGATCAAATCAAGCGAACTAGCTGACCTCTTCCAGCCCAGTGCGTCATCTACAAGGGTCCTGATGAGGCGTACATCGGCCAGGAAATCTGCTTCAACTACAACGAGGACACCCTGACCATCGTCGACATCACGGACAGAGAGAACCCCATCCAAATCTCCAAGACCCCCTACGTCGGCGCCAGCTATACCCACCAGGGCTGGCTGGTCGACGAAAATGACCATTCCTACCTTCTTCTTGACGACGAGCTCGACGAGATGGACGGCACCGGCGAGGCAGCCAACGGCCACACAACAACCTACATCTTCGACATCAAGGACCTCTCCGCGCCCGTGCACTCGGGTACCTACCAGTCGCCGGTCCGCTCGATCGACCACAACCAGTACGTTGTCGCCGGTCTCTCGTACCAGTCCAACTACGGCAGCGGGCTGCGCGTCGTCGATGTCAGCTCCGTCTTCGAGGATCCCACTGCCGCGGGCTTCAAGCAGGTCGGCTTCTTCGATGTCCACCCCGAGGATGACGAGATTGGCGGCGAGGTCGAGTTTGTTGGCAGCTGGAGCGTGTACCCCTACTTCAAGAGCGGGCACATCCTCCTCAACAGCATCGAGCGCGGGATTTACTCGCTCAAGTACACCGGGCCCGCAGCGGAGTACTACTAGCGACAATGCCGTGGTAATGGCTGAAACCAGGCCGCCAAATGCCGACAGTCTGCAAACTGCCATTGATCAACTTTGTAGATAGTCAGCGACTTCCGAGGTCTCCGGCGTAGACTACTACATATAGCAATCCAGAAAATTCGAGAACATCTGAAACGTCCAGCCCCTCCCAGTTCTTGTGCAAGTCGCATAATCTCCGAACCCGGACAGACCCTGTGACAGATCGTCTGCCTTGGCCTCGGTATCCCGGCATTTGACTGATCGGCAGTCCGTCCGATCCATCGACTTCTGATCGAAATCTCAAACATCCCAAAGCCTGCCCAGATCCGCAGGGCCAATCTGGCGCCCCTCAGTACCCGCCGCAGATACTAGATGAGACCGAGGGTTCGCACCGCACACAGTGACACAACGTACCGTACAGTAGACCCTGCATGAAGCAACACGGTGTCACGATGCAGGCGCATACTGCAAGCCACACCAGTTGTACATACACAGCAAGGTAAGACGAACGTGGGGACCCTGTCGGAGCTTAGGGCTGACTTGGCTAGTGGCCCGAGTGCCGAATTTTTGGACCTGTCGCGGTCTAGTCCGACTATGAAACGTTGCCCGTGGGAGCCCCAGTTCAGCATGGAATTGCAGCATAGGAGTTCCAGGCAGCGCGGGACTTGATACATCTACCTCGGCGAGTCTCAGTCCCCTTGCGAGGATGGAGCATAAATACCCCCAGGACCCTGGTCGGGTAGAAGGTAGACAGACAGCCAGCCAGCCAGCAGTTCCAGTTCCAGTAAGACAGCAAAGACTCTGTGCCTGGTGCATCGAGTCATTCGTTCATTCGTTCTCACTTGAATCCATTCATTCTCTCACGATGAAGCTCAACGCCCTCCTCCTCTCGGCCCTGGCCTCCCTGGCCATCGCCTCGCCCGTCCCCAACGACGCCACGGTCACCCTCGACCGCCGCCAGGGCATGTCCTCCAACGACCTGCAGTCCGGCGCCTGCAAAGACGTCGCCTTCATCTTCGCCCGCGGCTCCACCGAGATGGGCAACATGGTGCGCATCCCCCGCGACCCCCAAACCCATCCCAAGGCCGCCACTAACAAGCACTAGGGCTTCGTCGTCGGCCCGGGCGTCTGCAGTAACCTGAAAAAGGACCTCGGCTCCGACAAGGTCGCCTGCCAGGGCGTCGGCGGCGCCTACACAGCCGGGCTGATGCAGAACGCGCTCCCCGCAAACACCGACCCCGCATCCATCAACGAGGCCGTCAAGATGTTTGAGTTGGCCGCCAAGTGCCCCGATACCCAGATCGTCGCGGGCGGGTACAGCCAGGGCTCGGCGGTCATCGACAATGCGATCCAGAAGCTGGATGAGAGTACGCGGGATCGCGTCAAGGGTGTTGTGCTGTTCGGCTTCACGCGCAATCTCCAGGATCACGGGCAGATTCCGAATTATCCGAAGGATCAGACGAAGGTTTACTGTGCGGTGGGCGATATGGTTTGCTCGGGGACCCTGATTATCACCGCGGCGCATATGACGTATGGAATGAATGCGGGGGAGGCGGCGAAGTTTTTGGCCAGTCAGGTTTCTGTTTAGGCTTGGGACTGAACTGGAGTCTCAGGGTGATATGGGGTTGAGGCCGTTGGGGTTGCTGTTGCTGGGCTGGGGCGCTCTCGTGTCCTGTCTTTTGGCCTCTATGGGATGGTACGCCGTTCTCGAGAGATACTGACCTCAAGTTCTGGGGCACGGTGTGGATGATGAACGGCAAACTTCTTTTTCTTCTCTTTCTGTTTTTCGTTCTTTGCTTCGACTCCTGTGGTTGAGATATGCAGGCCATACTCGCTTTCTCTAGAACATAGAACATGTTGCGCTTTGGCTGATGTATATGTTGTTTCACGTCAGTCACCATGATTCATGTTATATGCCGCAGTCCCATTCCTCTCCCTACTTGCTCAACAAAGTACTAGATCCTGAACCCCAGCTAGCCAGCGCACCTAGCCAGGGCCAGAGGAGGGTATGGTATATTTTGAAGTACCGTTCACCGAGACCAGGACGGCGCGCACCCATGGATGCTTACTCCGTACACCAAGTAGAATCAACTGAACATACCCGGGAGTTGACAACGAACAAAGCTGAAGGAAATCTATCTATAGATACATCACTATACACACGATACATAAGCCTCCTCCCCGACTACCCTACCATAGGTAGGAATCTATCTCTGCCCATCCACTCATTCACCCATTCACCCACTGCCCCATCCCACCGGACACAACCGCCCATTATTATTAAAGCTCTCGGGCACCGGATCCACAGTGACAACCTCCCAATCCTCCGCCCCCACCGCCGTCAACGCAAAGAACACGCCCGTGGGATCATACCGCTGCTTCAGGCTATACAGCCGCTCATAGTGCACGCCGTAGAACGCGCTCGTCTGGTCCGGCTCCAGCAGATCGCCCTCGCTCATGTACGCGCCCGAGTCCGGCGCGAGGTCCCGCAGCACGTCCATCCACGACGTCACGGCCGTCGAGGCGTTGTACACGGTCGCCCAGTCTGCGTCGGAGGTCCACTGGATGCCGACGATGACGTGTGCCAGGGCCGAGCGCCACGCCGGGAGGACGGAGGTGTCGCTGGGTGGTGCCATTGCGATGCCTGTGCCTGAGACGTGGAAGCCGGCGATGAAGAGGCCCTGTAGCTTTGTTTAGTGGCGGTGTGCAGGGGTTGGAGTGGGGGGTAAGATGGCACGGACCTTCTCGATTGCGTCTTTGTGTGCGGCGAAGAGGGAGGTCCGGGATGAGGTGTTTGTGAGGATCTCGCGCGGCATCAGGCGCGATGCGGTCTTTACGAGTGCGGTGCCGACGTATTCTTGTGGGAAGGCGGCTTGCCAGACGTCGTGGCTGCACGCATTAGAGTCTGTCGACACTATAAAAAGGATGAGAGGGCATACTAGTTGTCTGCATGGTTATACCAGGGCGTATAAGAGATGTTCAGCCCATCGAGGGTCTCAAACCACGGCTGCAGCAGGGTCCGCGTCTGCGCAACGCTCATGTTCGGCGCGACAAACGACTCCATGCGGAAGTAGTAGTCCGTCGACCCGGCGTAGTCGGTGCCCAGCTCCATGGCCGACGCGCCCAGGTAGTAGTAGCCGTAGGTGCCGGCGTCGACGAAGGCCTGGAAGTGGTCGAAGTAGGCGGAGACGCCGCCCCAGAAGGCGGCGGCGCTGGGGCAGTCGGTGATGGTGAAGTTGAAGGTCACGGAGGTCGTCTGGATCTGCGGGTGGGCGATCACCGTTAGTGAAGTCACGACGCCGATGGTGCTGCCGCCGCCGCCGCGCAGCATGAAGAAGACGTCGGGGTTCTGGGTTGTCGAGGCCGTGATGAAGCGGCCGTCGGCGAGGACGACTGGCTGTGTTAGTCCTTGTTTGGTTTCAGGGTGGTTGTGGCATACCCTCCATGGAAAGCACCTGGTCTGCAGCCATGCCCCAGAGACTGCTCAGCGGCGAGTGCCCCCCACTGGCCGTATATCCTCCCCCCAGCCCAACCGTCACGGCCTCACCACCAACCACCGTGACGCCGTGCTCCTTGGCGAACTCGTTGGCCTCCCAGACCTGCACACCGGCACCGAACTTGATGGCGGGCCCGACATAGCCGCTGTCGGCCTCGTACTCGGCGTAGAAGGCCGTGTCCTTCAGCCAGTGCGTCCAGATGGAGAGGGCGCCCTTGCCGGCGGCCTTGCCGTTGAAGTCGTGGCCGGTGTTCTTGACCACGAGGCGCAGGTTGAGGTTGCGGGCGAAGTTGACGGCCATTTGGATCTGTGCGACGGTCGTCACGTTCACCACGTAGCTGGGGTACCCGCCTTGCTCGCAGGTGGTGGTGTAGTTGTAGCCTGGCGGCATGCAGGTGCGGCCTTCGTAGAGCGGCAGCATGATGGAGGTGGGATCGTTCATGCTGCGTCTGTTAGTTACCTATGCTCTGGTATGGAGGCAGGATTCAATAAGTCAAAAGAAGACTTACTGGATGTCGGAGATGATCCATTGCGAGGTGATCTCCGCGCACTTGTCGGCGTCGTACTCGGGCCAGTCGGGGTAGCAGTACGCAGCCAACGGGGCTGTCTTGATCAGACTGCCTCCTAGTAGGATGTCGAAGATGTCCCAGGTGAGTTCGCTGGGCCAGCCGTCGTCGCCGGGCATGACCTTGCAGCGGTGCTGGGCTTGTTTGGTGAGGCTCGAGGCCGACGCATTGCGGAACTTGAACAGGTCGGAGACAGACGAGTTGTAGGTCGTCGCGAGCTTGGCCAGGGCAGCCTCGGTCAGCTGCACCTGTTCCGACGAGAACAAAGCTGGCGATGCATTGGCCGCAGCGACGACGGCCAAGGTGGCCAGCCCGGTCACCACGTTCTTCATCTCGATTGTTGTCGGTCGGATGAAAAGAACGTTGGAAGTGAGGACAGCCCGGAGGAGAAGCCACTTAAGTAGCCGGATCCAGTCTGATAGCTCAGGAGAGGATGCAGCACTACCGAGGTGCTAGACTAGCGATGGATGGACGGTCAGCTCATCGTGTGCCGGCGCAGACGCCATCTACAGTACAGACCTCCACTCGGCGCACCGTGCCACCACGTGGGTGCGCACAGCGTGCCAGATCCTGCGCTATGCAGGCGGCCATGAACATACCCGGACGGTGTTTCTCTTTCCAGCCAGACCCGAGCTGGAGAACTCTGCAATCGGGGGCGTGGCCGAGCCCTAAGCGGTTGGGGCTTGGACAGCTGTCACCGAGACAAGCGATGCGCTAACATGATGGTGAAGCACCGGTGCCCACTAGCCTCGCGTGGTTAATCTATTTTATGCACCAGTGCTCCAACGCCTCCAATTGAACGGGCCTGGACTTTTGCTTTGGTAACTTGGTGGTTCGCATGGAGACCCTCTGGGTCTCATCGAGCCACTGCAGTCCATCACCCGGACTTTCCTCGGCTTTGCCCGTGTCAAGAGCCGATGCAGCATGGCAGAAGAAAAGAAGTCTGCAGGAACACAGCTGCAGAGACCAGGGTGGTGATCCTGGGCTCGGCTTGGCCTGAAGAAGAAGAATGGCCGGGACGAAAGGCTTGCATTAGCGGATCTAGCTTGTCTTCTGTGACAGCGAGCAGGATGCAGCCTCTTATAACGGACCCAGGCGGTCCCGGGGAGATTGCATCCTGTCTCTGATTACATCCTCCGATCTGGCAGGTACTTGACCCTCGCCGTTCTCCTCGATCCATCCTCCACACTACCATGCTGATCCCTTCCGCGTAGACGATCAGGGACTGCTCGCCATGACCGCGATCGCTGTGGACGATCGGCCCCACGACAACCTGCAGGCCCAGGCTGTCGCCATGATCTTTGCCTTTCCCGCCGTTGCGACCGTGGCCGTGTTGCTGCGGGTGTATATTCGGGTGTGGACGCGCTCGTTTGCTGCAGGTAAGTGTCTGCCTGCTCGTCTGTTACTGTACTGACATGTTAGATGACTGGGTGATCTGCGTTGCGGGGGTATGCCCTTCTCCCTTGGTCCAAGGCGACTGACTGACTGGACAGATTCTGTACTGGGCAGAGACGGTCACTTCGTACTATGGTACTCTCCAGCACTGCTAGACTATTCCTGGATGGAATGCTAACCTCGCAGTGATCCAATACAACTACGTGGGCTTCCACATCTGGGACGTGCCCCAGCCCTTCGACTCAACCCCCGGTGCAAAGTTCTCCTACGCAGTATGCCACCCCCCCAGGCCCATCCACACCTCTAACCCGCACAGACCGAACTCCTCTACAACCCCATCCTCGCCCTCATCAAGACCTCCATCCTCCTCTTCCTCCTCCGCCTCACCGGCCAAAAGGTCGCCGTCCGCCGCACAATCCTCGCCCTGCTCCTCCTCAACGCCATCGCCGCCCTCGCAACCTTCCTCATCACAACCTTCAACTGCATCCCCGTCGCCTCGAACTGGAACCCCGCCGCCTACCCACACAAGAAGTGCATCAATTTCGCCGACTTCGTCACCGCCACCGCCTCCGTCTCCATCTTCACCGACTTCCTCGTCCTCCTCATGCCCACCTGGATCGTCTATAACCTGCACATCGCCCGCCGCCAGAAGATCATGCTCGTCGCCATCCTCTCCTTCGGCCTCGTCACCGTGCTCGCCGGCATCATCCGCGTCATCCTCCTCGATAACTTCGACCGCCATATCCCCGCCGACAGCACGTACAGCGTGCTCTTCTGCCTGTCGACCATTGAAGTCGGGCTTGCGTTTGTGGCGGCGTGCGCGCCGGCCCTCAAACCGCTGTTTATGCGTCTTGTGCCGAGGCTCTTCAGCGCGGGTAGTCGCAGCGCGCAGTACCATGCGCGCGCGGGGACGAGTTCTCGGCGTGCGTTTGGGTACGGGTATGATCTTGATCCGATGTCGAAGCGGACGGTGAGGGGGCGGGATGGGAATGGGATGTCGGTTGAGGCGGAGGATTATGAGCCGGAGAGGGGGAGGAGTCGGGGTGGGAATGGCAAGGGGCGGATCTTTATGACGACTGAGACGGAGGTCAAGTGGGATGATCGGGGCCAGGAGCAGGATCATCAGCATAGCCAGGACTCGTCGATTGGGAAGCCTGTGGATGATGGGAGTAGTACCGAGAGTCTGGTGCAGGCGGGTAGAGCGTAACCGTCTTGGTATGGTAGACGGTCCTAGAGCTGGTTTGGATAGATGTCTTTGGTTCTGTTCTTGCTTTCTTTTGGTTTAGGCGTGGATAGACAGATTCCTAGAGATAGAACTCCTTGGGCGGTTGGTCTGGTTTGTTTGCCATGGTACGTTATGGGCACGTTCTTTGAGTGGAAATGGTATATGATACAAACACGACATGGTGCCATGGACAAAGCAACGAGAGCTCTACGCCCTTCTTTTCCCTTCGCCTGGTCATTCCTCTTCTCCCTTCTACACGCACTCGGCTACTCTGCCTGGTAGCCTACAACTAGCTGTATGACATCTTCGTTATATCCAAATCCTCAATCATCTCCGTATCCAGCCATCTGCAACATGGCCGAGCTCCCCCCAAACTCCAGCTTCACGATCGCCTGGCTCTGCCCCTCGCCAAACGAGCTCATCGTCGCCCACGAGATGTTCGACCAGGCTTACGGCAAGCACCCACTGACGCGCCACCCCGCCGACAGAAACAAATACGAGCTGGGCAGGATCGGCCGGAACAACGTCGTCATGCTTCAGCTGCCGTGCATCACTACGTGCGAGGCTATCTACCAGTTCGAACACGAGACTCATGACCCAGAGCCCGCGAAACATAACAAATGGGCCGCGACAACCAGCGGCTGTGCGATGGCGCTCGAGCTCATGAAGGAGTCCTTCCCAAGACTCAGCATCGCGGTGCTAGTGACAGTCGCCAGCGGGGTCCCTTCTGAGTCTGGAGTCACACATATCAGACTGGGCGATGTCATTGTCGGGACGCCGGACCGCGCATTCTGGGGGCTTACGATGGCCGAGCTCGACGTTGAGGCTCCATGTCCGTGGGAAGAAGAGGAAGAAGAAGAGGAAGAAGAAGAGGAAAAAGAAGAGGAAGAGGAAGAGTCTACGTGCATGTCCTTGTCCGCACCAAGCTCCACATCTGCGCATACAGATCCAGATCCAGATGCAGACACAGACACAGACACAGACACAGGCCTATATCTCTCCCCCCTAACAAACGCCCACACATACCCGCGCCTCCTCGTCACAGCCGCCCACGCCCTCCTCGCCGACCGCGCCCTCGGCATCCCCAGCAAAATCCCGCTTTTCCTGGCTCGCATGTTCGACTGGTACCCGGATCGGCGGATGTACTATGTATACCCGGGGACCGAGGACGAGGACGCGCTGTCACCCAAGTCTGACAAAGAGGAAAACACAGAGAGGGAGACACACACGGAGTCCGAGCCTGCGGTACACCACGGCACGATTGCAATTCTCCCCCGGCCTGTGCCCTCGAGTCACCCTGATGCTAGTGCCACGGCGACGGTGAGGGTGAGGGATGGTTTACGGAAGCACGGCGTCAAGGGGGTTATTGCTGCGGGTGGAAGAGCTGGGACGGCGGATCGGGCTGCAGCGTGCGCCGTGGTGAGCGATTTCCTTCCCACGCTTGTGGTCTGCGGTGTGAGTGGTTATGTTGGTGCTGATGGCCGTGTGGAGAGTCGGTGGGAGGGGTATGCGGCTGCGACGGCGGCGGCGTATACGAAGGAGCTGCTGCGGACTCTGGCGGCTTTGCCGGCGGAGGGGCATGACCAGGGTGCCTCGAGCTCGGGTGGGAGTGCGTGGGGGGAGGGCTGTCATGCAGGTGTTTAGCTGGTACTGTTATCGAATCAATGATCAATGTAATCACTTTCTGTGAGCTGAGGACTCGTATACGCTGTGCCAGACTCAGCCACGTAGGTCACTTACCAAGCCATAAGAATGACATATCATCATGCGGACATTTATCTGAGCATCACACCCCTAGAGAGTAAATAACAGGGGCATGTGGGAGTGAGTGGGTGAGCGTCGCATGACCCTCATCCGGATTATCCATGACTGCATGGTTGGTGTTCGAGGTGGTCGGTCAAGGCAACGTTTGTCTTTCGCGCTAGAACCGTTCAATTAGGGCTTCAGCTGAGCAGACGTGCAGGCTAGATTGTAGGTGTTGATGAAGAATGGCGGTTTTGAGGGGTTGGCTAGGGTGAGCCTGTGAGGCGTATAAAATGCCATCTAACACGTTAACTTGTTGTAGGATATCTACCTGAGATGTTCCTCGTTCCCTCGGACATATCAGCATTTCCTGTAGACATGTCGTAGGCCTAGATTTGTTTGTGGGTCGTTGGTCGTGACTGCTGCATCCCTGAAACAGTGACCGTCCAGCCCGAGGGTGTTGTGCCTATCTTGCTTCCAAGGCTAATTGCTTGGCCTGCTCCTTGTCCGGCCGCTGTACAGCCCATATTACAGAGGGAACCTCGTGATGGCCTTGAGAGGAGTTGACATGTCAAATTTATGCTCGAAGAGACTTCCAGGGGCAAGGTTACTGGCAGCGTGTTTACCTCTGTATAAATGTACGACCCTTGGCCGATGCCAAAGTCAATCCTTCAGTAGGTATATGAGTGGCTGAAACTTTATCCTACCATAGGATCGATCTCGTTGAATCACCTTGCCATGCATGTTAGATCCTGAGAGCATGAAGCTCTGTTGCAGGTGACCCTTCTTCACAGTTTCTTAAAGCCAAACCCCAAGGGATGCATTCTTAAAAAACCTTTTACACGCCATGGCTAAACCTACATATTTTACTAGGATTAAGCTTGTTTAACTATCTTAGCATGCATATTAAATTTTAAAAGCATAAAACTACTGCAGGTAACCCTTTTTTATAGTTTCTTAAAGCTAAACCCCGAGGGATGCATCCTTAAAAAACCCCTCACACGCCATGGCTGAACCTACACATTCTACTAGGATTAAGCTTGTTCAACTGCCTTGCCATGCATGTCAGATCCCGAAAGCACGAAACTGCTGCAGGTAACCCTTTTTCATAGTTTCTTAAAGCTAAACCCCAAGGGATGTATTCTTAAAAAACCCCTTACATGCCATGGCTAAACTTACACATTTTACTAGAATTAAGCTTGTTTAACTACCTTAGCATGCATGTTAAATTTTAAAAGCATAAAATTACTATAAGTAACCCTTTTTTATACCTTCTTAAGACCAAACCCCGATGGATGCACCCTCGAAGAACCCCTCACACGCCATGGCTGGAACCTGCGCCGCTTCTCACCCGCCTCCCACCAGCTGACCACCTGCATCATCCCGGTAGGCCGGTACCAGATCTACCCGCAAGACGGTGATTAGAATGGAAATCGTAGCCGAGTGCCCTGGGACGGGCCGATGCAGAACCCTGCATCTGAGTGGTTTAATTCCAGGCGTAAGCAAGCACTGTGGCGCATTTCGTATGCAGGACGGGAAACCAACAGGGGTTTCCCAAGATAAGCAGAACTTCGAGTTACTAGGGCGTTCTGGACGCCTCTGTCGGTCGCTTTGCGGAGCAGGCAGACATCCGGTGGTATATAGCAGTTCGTTGTTTAGATGTGGGTGGATATTGCTCACTTGCCGCTAAAAGGTACAGCGTGAAGACATATCAATAAAGTAAGAATAGCAGTCCGAGTCTGTTCCTAGCCCTACCGTCTATATTGTCCACTTTCAGACTTCGGCCGGACGGCGATCGTAAGCTCGGGCTACACTGTACAACCATCCTCGCTGTCAACCATCCTCGCTGTCAACCATCCTCGCTGTACAACCATCCTCGGCTGAATATTCCCGCATCTGGATCGTGTAACTACCCACCTGCATTTGTGAACCCATGACGAAGGCCGCTAAAGCAGTGGCACCCAGTTTGTCGGGCCCCCACGTTGATTTTATCTAAGACATAGCACGACTGACTAGTGTGGATAGCAGTAGGTACTGCCATAGGCCTTCATCATGTAAAGCCAGAGCGTGACTACCATGGTATATTTAACGTGGATATTGCTGCTCTCGTGCGGCTTTAGAATTAGATCATCGAGTTTTGTATTGTCTTACTCCGTGGTTGTTTGTACGTTATGTTATATGATCTATCAGGATAGTGGAAACTGGAATGCATTTTCCGCCCCTCGGCCGAGAAATAATGTCGCCGCAGAGCAGCCAGTGTCCGTGTTTCAGTAGACAGATATCCCGTTTTACAGTCCCGTAGTTGATTGTTAACTAGCACAAGACCTACTGTCAGGCAATACGGTCGGTCGCCGCTCGCATGCTCAAACCGTGGACTCGTCAACGGAGAGGCGGGAAGGCGACGTGCGAAAGTTTGAGCGAGTTATACGATATCTAAGATATAGTAAGCTTGTGGATATCAGCACACTCCTGGTAGATACTAGCCTAGCTAACCGCCCTCCAGCGGTATCAGTCGGCTTCAAGACAAGGAACCTTCAGCTGAGCGTCGTTAACAAGGATATTCAAGATGCTCTACAGCTGTGGTATACGGGTGATGGGCTCAGTAGCAGAGAAGAGTGCTAATCAGATTATTCTAATCTGGTGATTGTATTGTCCGTGGCGTAATCGGATCTGATAGGCCAATTTAGTTCTGACATGCATATCATCTATGGCGTCAATGGACAGACAACCTCGTAAACTGTGGAGAACATCAGCAAGGGCATGTGTCACACCCTGGGAACAGAACTACGCAGGGTATTGCATAGGCTAATGAGACACACCGAATGCGATGCATCGAACAATGGGCGAGGCAGTAATTCCGGCGAGAGATGGGTCAGAAAAGGACAAAGACATGCATACCCTGTCGGTCTGTGTGATGAAGCAGAAGGTGGGCTTTGAACTAAAGCATTGTCTTATGACCTAGTAGAAGAGGATATACGAGCAGAGGTGGAAAAAGAAAGTCGCGAGCAAGATAAAAGGGCAGAGGAATCCCTCGAAATCATGGCATATCTCGTCCACCACCCGAGTTCCAAACCCTAACTCAGCAAGCACCCATCCTTTCCACCACCATGCTCTATCTTGCCTTCCTCCTCCTTGCCCTCTGGACCGCCTCTGCATCTGCCTCAGCCCTGGCCCAAGGCGGCGGCCTTCCATGCTCAGGCACAGTCCAGGGCTGTGCGAATCGACTTCAGAATAACCAAGCCCCTGGCGCGGCCTCCAAGTCGGCCGACTGCTCCAGTTTCCAACGGACCACTGTGTCTCTCCCCGCCACGTGAGTTTTTCTCCTTACTTGGACTACTCGACTAACCTTACCTCAGGACCGTCACATCAACCGTATCCACAGTGACAGTCACAGTCACGGATTGCCCCGACGCACCCCCCGAGGGGAGAAGGCTCGCCGCCCGCCAGGTCACCGTCACCCCAACCGCAACCCCAACCTACCTCGACGGCCCCTGCACCACCCCCGGCAACTACGCCTCCGCCTGCTCGTGCATCGGCATCCCCCCAACCATCACAACGGTGCCCGGCCCCACCGAGACGTCCTCCGTCACCGCGACCGTAACCGTCACCGTCGCCCCAATTTGCGAGGGGGCAACATGCCCGGACTACGTGCCTGTCACATGTGAAGTCGGGCTGTTCAACATATGTGCTTGTGGCATCGACACCAACGGCGACCCGTTCTGCTTTGCTAATGACAACTGTGACGATACACCCACCTGCACATCAAACGCGGAATGCGCCGCTGGCAGGAAGTGCCTTGATGTTGGCCCCTGCTGTCCTGGGGAAGAAGGGTTGGGTCACTGTTTTGTGGAGGCGCCTCCTGGGACTTGCCCGCCTGCTTGTGGGCAGGGAGCCGGTGCCCAGTCGCTGGCAAACCCGAGCTCGGGCGAGTGTGCAGGTGGTATTCTGTGTGCTGCCTGATGGGGGTGAGTGAAACTGGCTGTCTTGTTGTTGCGGTTGACTTTGTCCTGCTACCTTTTTTCTCCCCTTTCTTGTACCGTCCGTCCTCAGTGACGAGCTAGTCTCTTGTTTTTCTTGATCTGCCTTGACCTGCTCCAGTCCTTTGCAGGTCTTTGCGTCTTGCGTTCGTCTTTCGGTTCACCAAGAGGATTTTGGGAGACTGTCTACCTGGATGGAAAGAGGGGGTACAGGGTGCTGGCCTCCTCTGCTTAGTTGCCAACACGTATTATGCTTTTGGTCTTGTATTCTTGAGTAACTGCCTGTTGTAGGTGTAGCCGATATGCTTCAGATTTCCAGTAACGCCACAAAGAAATTTACCAACAGACTCGCATTGCGGTATATGATAATAGAGACACATCTACCACCATTACGCGTACCCAAGCGTATCCGATAGCGCAGTTGGAGCTGGGAAACAGCCAAGGAACAACATGTACATTCTACATTGAAATATGGTCACGATTACCACTATGGTATGGTCTCTAAGTCTATATATACATGGTAATGTTCAGTCTTGGTGGATGATTGTATTACTCCGCGCCAGTGCGTCTTCGGCTAGAATCTCATGATACATGGTAGCAGACAAACGAACTATAACACCCCCAATTGACAACCATCCGACCACGAGTATCACTACCCATTTTCCTCCCAATCACCAGGAAAACAAGACCAGTGTTCACCCACAGCTCCCTGTAGTCCCCTCCTCGTAAGGACTAAACCACTCTCGAACCCAACTCAAGGAATCAGCGGCTCACACCCTTACTTCAGCAACGTCCAGACCAGGCAGGAAGGAGGCACTCGAGGTCAGGCCGTGTGGTCGTTTTCTGAGGCAACTGACATAAACACGTGGTGCAAGCCCGACTGGGGGCCGAAGTGAGTCAGCGCGGGGTACCTATGGATACCTATCAATTCAATTAACCTGCACATCCTCAACAATCCGCATCGACAAAGCATGTCATTCCTCTTCCTGCCCCCAGAGCTCCGCCTCCAGATCTACACCTACCTCCTCGACCCAAACACCTACGTAACCGGATACACTAACATTACCCGCCTAACAAGCACCGCGTACGAGGATGCCCACGCCGACGCCCTAGCCTCGAACGAAAGCGACCGCCCGCAGATCCCCTCTGTCTCGCTCGCCCGCATCTACATCACGCGCCGCACCCCGTCCATCCTCCTGCTGAACCGGCAAATCACCGCAGAAGCCTTGCCAGTACTCTACAGCGTCCCGCTGACGCTCACGGGCACGCCGTCGACGTACCTCTCCATGCGGCAGATGGACATTGCGGAGTTTATCTCTGAGACGCTGCTGCAGCGGATCAAGGTCGTTGCGTTGAGGTTAACTCAGCCCGAGAAGGCGTTTGTGCTGGGGTTGCTTGATATTTGGGGGAAGGGGTGTGCGTTGACGAGGTTGGTTGTGGAGGTGCCGCGGGATGAGGATCGAGGTGTGGGGGATGGAGTTGGGCCTGGTTGGTTGAGCCTTGAGGCGAGGAGGGGGAGGCATTGGGGCGTTGTGGAGAGTCGGGTGTGTGATCTTTGCCTTGCTTGTCCTGGAAAGCTGGAAGTGAGATGTGCAGGTGTGCTAACTGGATGGCTAGATACGGACGTTTGCGGAGGTCTTACGGATTCCGCTGGAGATGCGCACCATAGAGACGTCATCGGATGGGCCTGAATGATAAGAGAATTCTCGGATCTTGCCTGGCTCTCAGGGTGCACTTACCGACAGCCCAGCCTGTCGGTACGAGAGTCGGTAGGGAGAACAGGGGTTAGTTAGGGCTAGGTCCATGCTAGCATAGCAGGCGCAGGGTCGTCGAAATAAGGTTGCAACACGTCGTCGATTCAAGGTTCGCTGCATCTGCCACGAGCAACGCACAGGCAGTCCATTTCCCAATATTCCAGGCCACGGATACTCGCAGATGTGTGGGTTTGTGGCGCGTTTTTGCCGGGAAGAGGCAGATGCACAGTCCCGCCTGGGGTCGTACAGGCTGTCTTAAGGTTGGGATGCTCCGTATCCAATGCATAGTGCAGTACCCTGGTGGTACTCGACTGCCGACAAGTTATTGCAATCAGGTGTATCCCTCGAACTTCAGTAGACATAGGTTGCTTGTGTGTCTTTCACATGGGGCAGGCTATGGTATGCTAGTAAAGTCTGTTACCAGGCAATTAGGGCTGTCGGCCCTCATGGGGAATCTCCGCAGCTTCATTTTTACGATTAGTATTTATCATGCCTTGTTCGGCCTGGAAATGCCTAAAATCTATTCTTTTCCATACTCTTTGCCCACCTCGTCTCAACCAACAACACCCCTATAAACCCTCCCCCTCCACCCCTTCCCCTCATCCCCAGTCTCCGGCACACGCACCCTCCTCCCCGTCCAAATATCCATCTCCTGCACCCTCACAATGCTAGTGCGATGCCAAACCTTCCACCCACCCACAAACAGCCCGAAAACCGGCAAAAGAACATAACTAACCACAAAATCACTCGCACGAAACGGGCTCAAAAACGCCGTGTACCCCTGAAAAAAGATCAAAAGCACACAGAACACCAGCGCAAACCACGTCCCATACGGATACAGCGCCGCCTGGAACGGTAAACTCGACACACCCCCCCCCCTACGCAGCCAGCGCGTTCCGGAACCGGATTTACGCCACGCAGATACTCGTCCATACCAGGAACGTCGCGACGCCGGAGAGCGTGATCAATGCGTCGTAGACTCTACCTGCGCTCTCGTCTAGTGTCAGGAAAACAATGCACGTGAAGATATTGCTGAAGAGGATCGCGGCCCAGGGCACGCCGGCGGCATTTGTCCGGCCTAGGAATCTAGGCGCTTTGCCCGTGCGCGCCAGGAAGAGGACTGTGCGTGTGCAACGTACAGGGACCCGACTACGGCGGAGAGCACGCTCACTACGATTAGCGCGTTGATCAGGTGTGCGGCTGGGAGGATGCCGGCGGAGGTGAGCGCGATTGGGGGCGGGGAGTTTGCGCCGTAGGAAGAGGAGTTGGAGTTTAGGAGGTCGGGTTCTGTGTAGGGCATTAGGATGCCGATGAAGAACATTGTTCCTGCAGGTATTGTTGTTAGCGAGGACTTTAATGGGAGAGGAAAGTAAGGGATACCGATGTAGAAGACCAATTGCGCGGGGGACGGCCCTCTGCGGGTCGCTGGATTCGCCGGCTGTGATGCCGACCCTGATGGATGCAGGTGTTAGCAATCTCTATCATCACCTGTAAGCGGTTTGAGAAAATGGCATGCGTACATCTCCGTCCCGGCATACAATGTCCCAGCGACAACAAACGTCCTCGCAACGCCATTGATCGAGTCCGCCAATGCCCCGGGCTCATGCCAGTACTTGAACCCGATGGTCTCGCCGCCGATCTCGCCGGTGCTGATGCAGATGGCGAGGATGAAGAAGACGCTTAGGGCGAGGACTTTGATTCTGCATGCGCCTGATGCGTTAGCCTATACCCGGAGCTCTTGCTTTTCCTTTTACTTCCAAGCCCCTTGGTGGCTATGGAGGTAAGCATACAGCGACAACCAAACTCCATCTCGCCATACTCGCGCACCCCAACGTTCGCCAGCCCCAGGAACAGAAACCAGAAGATCAGGATCCACGCCCACTGCGGGACCGTTTCGGTCCAGTACATGATGACCAGGGAGACGGCGTTGTATTCGTTTGCGAGGGCCTAGCTCTCATCAATACTGTAACCTATACACAAAGGTTCAGGATATAGGGCCATACCGTGATCCATAGATACCAATACGCCCAGCCCAGCCCAGCCCGAACGCCAGGGAGTCGTCAACAAAGCGCTGCGCATACTCGGTGAAGGAGCCCGTGACAGGGATGGCGGTCGCCATTTCGCCGAGGGCTTGCCTGTCGAGTATCAGTAGCTTGCATTCGTCCTGATAAGAAAGCAGTATCTTTAAGCTTGGGCATACATGACGAAATACACGATTACCCCGACGAGCGAGAAGCTGATCAGCACTCCGGCGGGCCCGCCCTCGCTAAAGGCCTTTCCGGAGCCAACGAGCAACCCGGGGCCGATGATTCCTGTATCCCTTGTTCGGACTAAGATCTCAGACAAATATCTGGGAGAACGGACCCCCAATGGCGATCATCTGCAGATGGCGCGAGTGCAGATTGCGCTTGAGCGGTGCTGTGAGCGGGTCATGGTCGGGCGATGGCGCAGCCTCGTCTACTTCGTTGTTTGTTAGCGAGGTCTGGTCTTTTCCGAGAGCCATTTTGGCGGATGTGACGGAGGGAATGGGATGAGGGGCGATCAACAACATGGAATGGGAGGTTAAGGTGGCGGGCGATGTCGTGATGGCTTCAGTGGGGGGCGCTCTTGCCCGGCGTATCAGGATCCCAGCTGAAGGGATTTCCGAGCTTGTTAGCAATGGCAATGTCAATGTGTCAATCCCACTTAGTGTAAGTATACCAGTATGGATATGTACTGGGAGTAGACCGTTTTATTCTCACTTACGATGTCTCGCCTGCAAAGTTTGTCCTGTCCATCTAGCGGCTCTCTATAAACTTTGCCGCTTGCCGACCCTGACACGGCAGCATAATGGCTATTAATGGTGTCTATAAAGAGAACAAGTGGCTGGGCTGGGATAAATAGCCAGTTCCTGGCGCTGAGGTTGTTAAGTAGGTAGGTAGCGTTGCATCACCATCATGAACGAAAAGCGCACGCAGTCCTTGCAGTCACAGCATAGTAGATGTATATATAATAGACAATACCATATGTAACCCAAAAAGCAGACCCAGACCGGCCGAGTCGCACATAGAAAAAAAGCAGTTCAAGTCCAAACTTGCACCCATTACTCCCAGCCCTCCCTCAAATGTCAAATTTCTATATAGATGGCAAAGAACCGGTCAGTCCTCCTCCTGTTCGACAATCTCAATCCCGCCCTTCCCCTCCTCGTCCTTCATCTCGTCACTATCGACCCGGGGATCCAGTTTATTCAGCATCTTGCTCGAGTGCGGCTGTCGCGAGTGCGACCGGGACCGCGAGCGTGACGATGAATCTGCGCGCTCGCCTTCGTGCTTCTCGTGCTCCTCGCTCTCGCTAATGTCTGATGCGTACGCGCCCGAGCTCGACGCCGGATCATCCTGGTTGATGGTGATGTCGCGGGCGTGCTCGCGCTGGTCCTCGGGGATGTCGGACATGCTGGACGCACCGGATGCCGAACGCAGTTATGTTGGTATGTGATAGAGATTTAGGGTTTTTGGAAGTCAATCCGATCGCGAGGTTCAGACTGATCGGGGGTTCTGTCGATATATGGATGGAGGATCGGGGTGCGTGGTCGCCGCTGACGTAGGCTTGACCGGGCTTGACGAGGGTGGCCAGATAAGTCATCGTACTGTCATGTGCATTTGAAGTCGGGAAATCGATTCCACATCCTGTCCACATGGGCATTCCCGAGCCGTGGGGGATCAAAGCTTGTTCTGTCGGGATGGTGCCGGTGGTTCGGGCTCGTAGGGCACAACAACAGGCGAATATAAGCACAGCAAGCTGCTTTACCAAGCAGCTCTACCTAACAACTGGCAGATGTCAGTCAATGGCTGTGGGCCTGTGGCATACCATATGCGCTATAACATATCCTCGCTGTTCGTACCACATGCCGGCATTGAAACTCTTTCTACCATACGTAGAACAGCGCATTGCCACATAAGAATAACAACAAGCTATCCACCTCGCTCGTTCAGGGCTATCCCCTACCTGGATGCAAACTGATTGGTACGCACGGCTCGTTGAGTCGGTCAGGGCGGGCATAGTGTATGTGCCATTTTCCCTGAGTAAGACTAGACTATATCATTATTGAGATAATCTGCATGCAGATGTTACTCTCAGGATGGTGGCGCATTCGTGCTACTATGCATTTCTCAATGGACCCGGTCGAGTCAGGCTATACCCTAACTACCGTCTCCTGGTAATTGGATGCGCATATCCGAGGCCGAATCATAGCAAAGAACATAGCCAAGTTGCTTCGAGATACTTGCAGTCTCATCGAATTTCGAGGAGAGCCAGCGCAGGCATCCATCTCGCTAGCTGTTGAAAAGGCAGGGCACTGTATTGAATTCCTTGTGCCCCTCTCATCGCTCTTTGTTGAGCTTCTCACCCCGAGCAGAGAGATGTAAACTAACCTTGGAACCCACCTCTCATCCATGCAAGACAGTGAGCCCTAGCTCACTAGAAAGAACTGAACTTGGGCACCATACTAAGCCAGGAGCTGTGAACTCCTGCCAGGCGTCGCCAGTACACCCGATCTTTTCTGTTGTTCATAAACCTCACCTCAGGAGCCTTTATTTCGCTTTGTATAGTTGCGTATCCGCACAAACATGAACCAGGACACAATGAGACAGCAGCAGCGCAGTCAAATCAAGAATATTTCGCTTCCAGACAAGGTCTTGGGCGAGGAGGTAGGCACTGAAACGGACGCAGTCACGTCGGATTAAGCCTTAACAATGTCTTGCGCCTGCGACGGGGTCTCAGATGCAGTGAGACAGGGTCTCGGGTTAATCTCGACCGACCTTATTACAACACAACCGAGCCGAACCTGTCTCATTGCATCTGAGACCCTGCCGCAGGCGAATTGATATTCATGGCAGCCCAAAAGAATATAAAAGAGAACGGGAAGAGAGCGAGAGCGTAATATGTGCGGAGGTGCCGTACGGTACCATAGCAGGCGATAGCAGATGACCAACTCGATCATGCATCCATAGAGGATCTGTAATAACAGGCATAGAGGGTTTGTTCAAGTCTCGTTTACGAACCTTGTCTAGGCCTATAGTGCGTTGAGGACCCGACGTACCTACCTAGGTATGGTCAACTAGGTACATTCTACTCCCGATGAGTGATAGCCTGGCCAGAGTCGACGGATGCCCTCAGTTCTCGCTGAGTACCCATTTTCGGAAAAGAAATTCGATCCCTACTCTGGCTCCATCAACTCGGTGTAAGCTCGCGTGGACTCGTCGGTCTCAGAGTCTGTTTGAGGACGTCAAGATTTTGGCGCCCCAAGGGGTGGTGTACCATGCAGGTGCCCATGCCATAGTCTAAGAGTAAATCAGGCCTCGCCAACGGACATTGGTTCATGGCCAATTGACCGGCCGAACATTTAGGGCCCATTTCCCGCGACCGGTCAGTATATAGGAGACGAGTGTTCCACGGTACCCAGCGTGGTTGAGCCACGGCACACCCCGTACCGAAATGGCCCCTGAGTGGTTTGAGCTTACCCCTGTGAAGTTCGAGGTTCCGACTCGCGTTAAGATTAAGACCAAACTTTGGGTCTTGCACCGTTGCACGAAAGTCGAGATCCAATTCGCGACAATGCAGTGGGTCGGACGGATCTGCATTGCAAAGTACCAAGGGCACGAAGTACGAAGTACGAGAGTCGACCATGGGCGCTGTGCTACAAGACTCAAGATCAAAATCCAAAACATGATGATTCATTACTCGCGATATCAATACACTGTACACTGTATTACTAGGTCGGATGAATATATCCAGTCCAGGCCAGTCAAGTCAAGCAACCTTCCAAAATGAGACGCCCAGCGGGCATGAAGAGAAACTGTACATAGAGTAGATAGATAGATGTTTTCCATTACCATCACTTCCCCTTCCATCCATCCGCATCCCATCCCATTCTGTCATCAAGCATCAGACATCATCCACACTTATCCATGCTTATGGCTGACCAGCTTAGATGGCAACGACAACAGCGACGGCGGCAAGGGCACCGCCGACGAGGGAGAAGCGCTCCTTGGAGGCGGCACCGGTGAACTCGGGGCCAGCAGGGGTCTCGGAGGGGGAGCTGGTGGGGGTGGACTCGGAGCCGGAGGACTCAGTGGAGGTGGGGATGACAGGGGTAGACGAGGTGGAAGTGGGCGCGTCAGTCTCGGTGGAGGTGGCGGTCTCAGTCTCAGAGCCGGTGGAGGTCTCGGTGGCAGTGGCAGTGGAAGTAGCAGAGGTAGACGAGCTGCCGCCCTCCTCGACATCCTTGTAGGCGTCGATGCCCTTCTGGATGGCGGCGGTGATGCCGGCGGAGAGCTCGGCGGCGATGTCGGACAGGGCGCTGGGGACCTTGGAGGTCAGGGCGTCGGCGAGGGAGGACGCGGCGGTGTACTGGTCGTTCAGGGAGGACTTGACGGCGCCGCCGGCGCCGGCCTCAACGAACTGGTCCTTCTTGTCGATGATCTTGTTGACGACGGACTCGACGTCGTCGGTCAGGTCCTGGATGGGCGAGGTGAGGGCCAGGGCGTCGGAGTTGGAGAGGTCCGGGCCGCTGTTGACCTGCTCGACGGCGGAGTTGATGGTGCTGACGAGGGAGTCCGAGGCGGACTGGACGGCCGAGGGGTCGCCGCCGCTGTAGGAGTCGACGGCGGAGTTGAGGTCGGCGACCTGGCCGGAGATGGTGTCGATGATGTCGGCGGGGGAGGACTGGCGCTTGGCTGGGGTGGCCAGGGCGGTGGTGGCCAGGGCCAGGGTGAACAAGCCGGTGAACTTCATTGTGCCGGTGGTGTATTATAGATTATATATAGGTTAAGCGGGAGTGAACGAGTGCCCGGGACTGAAGCTGTGCGACGGTAACGAAAGACAGTTCGAGTTGACTGGAGAGAGGACGGAGGGGGCGGCAGAGGGTTTATATAGCTGGGAGAGTGAGTTCAAAGCTCACATGTGCAGCGGGACCGAGGAGAGGGATATTCTTAGCCAGATGGACCAAGAATTAGCGTGATGGGCAGGCCAATTGTGCCAGGGTCGAGGCAGGGAACGACTGGAGATCGCCATATGCTTGACGGAGATTGTCCAAATATTGGCCTGGTCCAACGCCACCAGCTGGACAGCCTCGGGGTGACACTGCAGCACGGATTCCTCCGAACAACCTGCTGCAGTGTTGTTGCTGTGAGTGCCAGCAACCCAATCACTGCGAACCCTCAGGCACAAGATCCAACGAATGCAACGCTAGCAACCCCCCGGCCCGCCCCCGGATTCTCATTTGCTCTGGGCCTGGCTCCACCAGAGTAGGCTCAGCCAATCCCATGGCAGAGAGTGAGACATGCAGCGAGTTGATTGGCCGGCACCCCGCATCGTCGAGGCCGGGGTTGTACAGCGAGGTCGGCGGCGACCAGAGTGCCAACGCCCCTTTGGGCAGTCCTCCGACGTTAATTTCCTTACGCGAGAGATTTGTCCGTCAGTAAGAATCATCAGAGTTGTGAGAAATATCCAGTCCAGAGGGAGTGGCCACTGGCGATCGTACCTGGCAGCAAAGATTGCGCCAAGATCCCCAATTGCGCCAATTTTTGGTGGCAATGGCGAGCTAGAACAGGCCCCTGAGTCTGAGTCTGGACCATCGGGCAATCAGTGGCCATCCGGAGTAGCGTCGAGTCTTCACAGTCCAGTCTCGATCGAAATCCCAAAAGCAACACTCCCACTATTGCACAAACTGCCCCATCACCCTCAAACGCATGAAACAATTGGCCATCTAGAAACAAAACATACGCTGTCTCATTCATTCTAAAAATTCTGACAGATGAACTTCACATGGACAGTGGTCATTTTTAAATGGCAATGGCATCATCAGTCCCTCCATCGAACCCTTGTCCCTTACGCGGCCCATGCAGCCCTAACCCTGCACTGACCCTGTCTCACCCCGCCTATTGCGGCATATGTCGCGAAATTGACCAGCTCCAATCATCACATGGTTACCTACCAACTTACAATGGCGACATAGACAAAGCTGCTAAAAGGGCCGCCCCTGCACAAGTCCGCGGTTGGTAGCATTCATATATTGCAGCGTCTTTAGCCTCGAGACTATCGAAAGCCTCCATGGCCTGTGCAGGCGTGACCGCTGCATGGATCTCGACATTTGCACCACGTTGCACAAAGTGTGTCATCGTTTTTGCTTTTGTCGGCTTGCATCCAGTTCAGCCCCTCCCTTTCTCTTCCCTTCCATCGTGGCGTCTCATTGGCACTGCTACCGTCCCATGTCCTGCTAAGACATCCGGCTCATCCGCCGCCAGCCTCCCTATCCTTTTCCTCGGGATAACCTCATTCTTTTTTTTGTCGCCCAGTTACACTTGCCCAACGTCGCACGTCTGTTTTGTACCACCAGCCCTCGAGTTTTCCCAGCCGCCTTGCTTCAGTATCCTTTCGACAGTCATCGACTGCCGATTCCGAATCAAGGCCGCGATGCTGGCATTAGGTGTGAACGCGTCGGATCTCGGCTGCTTTGCCGCAAACTTTTGAAACTGGATGGTATTTATATGAGCGCCTACGGAGTATGTCCTAGGTGAAGGCCGTCCAAGCCGACCCGGTCATCCCTACCGCCGTAACTCCCTTCTACAGTACCTTTGTAGACATCTTTAGGCTTGGCAGAGGAACCATCCATTAGCCTTGCTTTTCCGAAGTGCCTCGAGCCTTGATTGGCCGTTCACGTTGTCCCGTCCCTCCGCTCCAGCCTGTCTGCCAAGGCTTGCCTGTTTAAATAGCTACACCATATATTATGCTTCGCAGGAACGGCTATTTGTACGGGAAGGAGGGCTTTCGTGCGGGTCACCAAAGCGGGCGTAAACTCTGCAAAAAGCACCTGGGTAGAAAAAGAAGTGGTTCTCAGCACCCGTGGAGATTAACCACCTAGGGAGTATCATACTAGCCCTAATGCGCTCGCTGGTCAAGACTGTGCGAGAATCAGCATGCAAGCAACCTTGTCCTGGCCTCCCATTATATATATTTTCCCCTGTAACGGTTGGTGCACTCTTGCAGGTTTTGCAAGCTTAATTATTGAATAGCTTTCCCACTGGCCCTTGATTCCTTCTATTCAGAAGCTTAAAAGTGGCCAAAATGTCAGAAGAGTCCGTTCGAGTGGTTTTAAAGTTGATTCTGCGTGCTCTTCTCATTTGTCCCTCGAGATTAATCCGTCCAAAACCATGTCTACTCGCCTTTCCACGGGGATAAAGAGAGTACCAGTAACTACGGGCACCGCAGATCATCCATGTTTGGACGTTCTTTAGCTATCGAATGCGTTATTATCACTGGACAGCTCTACGCCAAATAAGAGCACAAACATCAAACGGCACAGTATAAATCTAGTAGAACAAGGCTTGATTCAAGGATAGCAAGAATTATACAAGACAGAACACGAAGACTAACCAACAAGCAGAACTAGAGACGATCAAGCCAGAAACAAGTAACCAGAGAAAACACGCTTTACAGCTCCATCTCATCGTCCGCCTCCGGGATCCTCCATGTCGACCTCCTCTTCCTTGGTTTTAGTTATAGCAAAAGAACCTGGCCAACCTCAATCCAACTCCGAATCATACTCCTCCGCCTCCTCCGCCTGCCTGCGCGCCTCCCTCTCGGCCTCCTCCGCCTCGTCCAACGCCTGCACCATCTGCCTCTCGGCCTCCGCCTCGGCGTCCAAATAAGCCTGCATCTCGTCATCCCCATCCGCCAAAAACCCCGGCGCAATCGCCTCATACACCCGCGACCAGCGGCCCTGCGCCGCCCGGAGCTCCTCCCAAATCGCATCCCGCCGCTCCGGCACAACCACCTCATTGCCCACAAGATCCTGATACGTGCTCCTGTACCACGTGATGCGATCCCAATCACTCAGGTCCTTCCCCTCAATCTCGCCCTCCAGCTCCTTCAGCCGCTCCATCCCCACCGCATCCTCCAGCTCAAGGAACAGCTCCCGGTACAGCGGGAGACACCGCGCCTCGCTCCACCCGTACTTCCCCTGGCACATGTTGGCCAGGTCCTGGACGCGGCCGAGGCAGGTCATCAGCTCGCGGTACAGCTCGCCGTACGCCTCCCACTCGTCCTCGCGGAACTTGCCCAGCTTGTACAGCACGTACGGGATGTCCTTGAACAGCACGACGTTCGTGCGGTTCTTGATCACGCCCAGCAGGTCGCGCCCGAATTTCTCCGAGCACGGCGTGAAGAACGACCCCGCGTCCTCGTCGTTCGTGCCGATCCGCTCCAGGAACACCGCCCGCAGCGGCTCCCACCATTTCTCCCCGCCCGCTGTGACCGTGTGGTGGTCGTCGTCTGGGCGCGCGAATTGCGTCCACAGCGTCCATTGTGTGCCGTTGGCCGCTGGGTCTTTGCCGAGCACGATGCTGTACGTGTGGATGCCGGACTCGCGGAGGTTGGCGGCTAGGCTCGCGGTGAATTGGTGCGCGGCGAGCGTGTCTAGGCCTGTGAGGCTCGTTACGGTTTCGGTTGTTTCGAGCGTCCAGGGGAGGCGCCCGAGGTCGAGGCCGGACATGGGCATTGTGGTGGTTGTTTGGGATGAGTGAATAAGGGATTGGAAGGATAGAGGTAGACTTGGTGAGGCGGGTAGGGAATGCTTAGTCTCAGTTGTAGGGTTGTCGTTGACGGTCTTGGGTAGAGGGCTGGAGGACTCGATCTTATATTTCCTTCAAAGGATGGCCGGGCTGTGAATGTCTCGCCGGGTCCGTTGACCGTCCAGATTATTTTTAACCGTGGATGATTATCATCTTGAACTAACAAAGACCCGAGTCAGCGGGTCACTGTTAGTGTCGGGTTGGAATGCTTTGTTAGAATTTATAGACACCCATGGATAGGCGTATAGCCTGGGCATCCCATCTTGTTGGGGCCCTTTGTTGTCGGTGCCGGTGCCACGTCCGGCGCTTGCAAAAGAACCTCGAGATATGAAACATCGAGCTACTAATAATATAGTCCGGCTCAGCTCGAACACATATTCTCGTCTTATAGGTCAATTTTAATCCATTCACTTACTACCTAGGTATAGTTCCCAGCCTTGGTCACCCGAAATATTGCCTTGAGTTGCGATGCCCAGCGCTGCGTCGGCAACAAAGAAGTTCAACGAGCAAGATCTCCTGAAATGTGGCATTCTCTCTTCAATGGCAGTGGCAGGATAGACAGACAATGAGAACGCCAGCGGTCTTGAGGGGCCTTGGCCATCCTTACTCCCACCAAATGTCAAGGACCTCGTGGCTGCTGTCACCAAGGAATGGATATTCGCTGTTGAACATTTTCTCCCTTCCACACTTCATTGGCTTCCTCAGCTTTATTCCAGCTGTAGCCCAAGTCTAAATGTGTCTAGCTGTCTGGCCTTGGAGACGTTGTGCGCATCAGTTCGGTCTACAGCAGCACTTGCAACTGCGCTGTCCTGTTTGCCCGTTTGACTAGCTAGCCATTACAGCAGAATTCCTGTTCGCTTTCTTTCTAGATTCACATCTTCCCCGCCGCTCAATGGTATCCATGGGGAAGCAGAAGTGATGGTGGGGCCTTCTTTGGCTGTCTTTGTCACTATTCCAGCCCTGTTACGAAGTCGGCCTAAGCGGAGGAGATGAGCTTATGCGATCTTCGTGATCTCGGATCACAAAGGGACAGAACTTTCAGCCTGACTCGATAGGCAGGAGATATCTTAGCTTCACTTCTAGCTGCAGATAGGCTCAAGAGATTGAGCAGGTGAGCGAAAAAATGAAAGTCATATATCTCCAGTCGTCCATTCACCATCCTCTTTCTACCTCTGATGGTACCTCTCCATACCGTATCCCATGGTATCATCCAGCATTCAGCACCCAAACTGTCTCTCTGGCTCGAAGAACCTTCCAGACCCCCCAAGGTCCTCTAGTACAATATGGTACCCACCACCGTGTTTACAGACAACCCGGTCGCTCTCTACGCATTCGGCGTGAATATATCACCAAGCACTGCCCTCTCTTACTATCCTACCCAACCAAACCCACTGGTGCGATCAGCTAAAAGAGACAATCATGTTGACGCCACTGCAGGTGCCTTCCGATACGCAGGTCAGTTTTTCAGCGTGCGATGCGCCAGATCAGCGGAGGTCGCTCAAGGGGGTCTCATTTGGACCTTAGCTAGCCCTAACTTCGTAGAGCATGTGGTGCCCGTCTTCTTATTCGTTTCCTCTAGACTGTCACTGTCCTGAATTGATGCCACTGCATTAAAGATACCAGATCTGCGCTGCTAACCACTCGTATTATGATGGTATGTCTTCAAGACGAGAAGACCCGAGTTTGCGTGTCAATTCATCTACATCTTCTGAGTCCATGGACATGGACTTAGCACGGCATTCACAGTCCAGGCCGGGGTTATCTCCGTTTGCCATATGCAAGCGGAGAGAGTTTGTGTACTTTCGGTGTTGCTTCAAGTATACCATACCTATAGCAGCGTAGTAGAGGCTGCTGGATCTCGACTGGCGAACCATCATTCCGTCCATTTGTCCTCCCACACTCGGGTCCATCCTTGACTACATGGCCTATTTCTCCTCGTGATACAAAATGTATACCCCGTATTCGATCCACAGTGGAGCATACACCGGACTTAACCGTGGATATACCGGTAACCGACCGCGCGGATTTAAGCCGCTGACTTAAAACGTACCCTTATAACCACACAGTCACATACCTCAACAATCACACAGCACACCATGTCCGACACACGAATCGTCCTCATCACCGGCGCCAACACCGGCATCGGCTACCAAGTCGTGCGCGCCCTCTACAGCGCCGACAAGGCGTACACCGTCCTCGTCGGCGCGCGCTCACTCTCCAAATCACAGGACGCCATCAGCGCAATCCAGACCGAGTTCCCGGAGAGCACAAACAAGCTTGCCCCGCTTGTGGTAGACGTCGAGTCAGACGAGTCCATCGAGCGCGCGCACGACGAGGTGGCGCGGACATTCGGGAGGGTCGATGCGCTGGTTAACAACGCGGGTACGCCACTACATAAGTCCATAATAAACGTCTGGATAATGCTGTGCTAACCTACTATGGTATATTTACCAGGGGCAAACTTTGACTCCCTGATCCCGTCCAAGCTCAGCCCGCGTCAAGCCTGGAACAAATCATGGGATGTGAACGTCACAGGCGCGCAGGTCCTCACGTCCACGTTCATCCCGCTGCTGCTACAAAGCACCGACCCGCGCCTCCTCTTCGTGACATCAGGCACATCAACGCTCATCGGCAGCCAGCGCCGGAATCTGCCGGTTGACCGCAGTCCCGAGGCCGGGTGGCCGAAGAGCGCGGCGGGGATCAGTGCGGCCAGTTACCGCAGTGCGAAGACGGGGCTGAATATGATGATGCGGGAGTGGGAGCGCATGCTCAAGAATGATGGGGTCAAGGTCTTTGCGATTAGTCCCGGGTTTCTGGCGACGGGGTTGGGTGGGGTTGGGGCGCAGCAGCTGAGGGCGTTTGGGGCGGGCGAGCCGGAGGTTGCGGGGCCGTTGTTTCGGGATGTGATTGAGGGGCGGAGGGATGGGGATGTTGGGAGGGTTGTTAGTCGGGATGGGGTGCAGGAGTGGTGAGCTGACTTGTTACTAGGGCTGGGGCTGGGGCTGGGGCTGGTGGCCTGGGGAGGGGCTGCACAAGGATGAACTGCACATGCAGGGATTGTATTGTATATGGAGGCAGCAATCTGCAGAGGCTGGTAAGCTTATTGGAACGTTTAAAATCTTTGACAGGCGTCATGTTGACGAGACACGGTTCTGGGCCTGTCAGGCCATGCTGAGGAGGACGGTCATGTGACTTGATGTCATGGTGATGCAGCCCTACATCACCACTTCAGTAGAACATGAGAAGAAGAGAGAACTTATACTCATACATCTCCATCAGAAGCAATACCATATCATCCAGAACTACCTGACGATCAATCACAACCCAACATCCCCACACACCAACCCAATAACAACCCATATCGACCAAACTAATCCCAAGGTCCCCAACCTTATACTATCCCATACAAAATGGCCACAACACAGGCCGCCAACCTCGTCGAAAAGGCCATCGGCCACGACAACACCGCCACTGTTCACACCGACATCAGCAACTACAACAACGAGTATGGCGTCGAGACAGGCGAGAAGATCCAGGCCGCCGTCTGGCAGGGCAAGAACAGCGTTGGCATTGGTGAGACACACACACATCAAGCACGAGCATAGCTAACAGAATTCCCAGTTGAAATGCCCAAGCCCCGCGTCGTCGACAGCGCAGACGCCATCGTCCGCGTAACAGGAAGCACAGTGTGCGGCAGCGACCTGCATCTCTACCACGGTAGGCCTCGGCCTCGGCCTCTTCCCTCCAGAAACAGAGAGTAGACAAGGCAGCTCTAACGAAAGTGAAAACGCAGGCGTAATCCCGCAGCTCCAAAAAGGCGACGTCCTCGGCCACGAATGCTGCGGCGTGATCGAATCCGTCGGACCAGACAGCAAGAAATACAAACCCGGGCAGCGCGTCGTCGTCTCCTTCCCCATCGCCTGCGGCACGTGCAAGCGCTGCGCCGCCCAGCTGTACAGCCAGTGCGAGAACACCAACGAGAACAGCATCACCAACGCCATGTACGGCAAGCGCACGGCGGGGATCTTCGGGTACAGCCACTTCACCGGCGGGTTTGCGGGCGGGCAGGCGGAGTACCTGCGTGTGCCGTATGGGGACGTCAATCTGCTTCCGATCCCGGATGATGTGCCGGATGAGAAGGCGCTTTACCTGTCCGATGTGATTGGGACGAGCTGGCATTGTGTTGTCGACACCGGGGTCAACAAGGGCGATACGGTTGCGGTTTGGGGCGCGGGGCCGATCGGGCAGATGGCGGTGGAGTTTGCGTTTTACCATGGGGCTCAACGCGTGTTTGTTGTTGATGGGGGCGAGGGCGGTTGGAGGCTGGACTATGTCAAGGGGAAGGTGCCGCGGGTTGAGACGGTGGATTTCTCGAAGCTGCCCCGCGGGGAGAGTGTGTCGGCGCATCTGCGCAAGATCACGGACCATGGGGTTGATGTGTGCCTCGAGTGTGTGGGGGGGGAGTATGCGAAGGGGTGGGTGCATTTCTTCGAGCAGATGGTTGGGGCGGAGACGGACACGAGCGAGATTGTCAATGAGATGATTACGGCTGTGCGGCCGTTTGGAAGGGTTGGAATTACCGGTGTTTATGCGGGATTTGTATGAGTCCTATCCTATTTTTAGTGGGAAATGCTAATGTGTGCAGACGAACCACTTCAACATCGGGGCCCTGATGCAGACGGGCGTGCGGCTCATCGGCAACGGCCAGGCTCCGGTCCAGAAATACTGGGAGGACCTGATGCGTCTGATCCAGAAGGGCGAGATCGACCCGCTGCACATGGTCAGCCATCGGTTCCGGCTTGAGGATATCGGCAGGGTGTATGAGCTCTTCAACCAGCGCGATGGCGGCGTGCAGAAGGTGTACCTGGAGACGAGGCACTCTGCGCCAGCGGCCAAGGAGGGTCCGCAGTTGACGCAGTTGTAGAGAGAGAAAAGTATGATGATGGCTTTACGTTACAGAATGTATTGAAAAGTTTAATTCAATCGATTTCATTCAATGACAGCTTAGCTACACTGACAGTCAAGAGTACCATAGCTACCTAAGCCTCACCCAAGATGTTGTCCTCGTACACGCTGGTGAGTTTGCCGGTGTTGGAGTTTTCGATCTGCATATCTCCATTAGCAGCCTTCAACATGATAGACAAGACGCACCTCGTATCGCGGCTTGTCCTGGCTCGCGTCGACGTTGCGGTCGGCCTGTCTGCCGGACTCGGTCAGCACGGACTTGATCGTGCCGGTGCTCTTGGACGTGTTGGAGTCGCGGCCTCAGCTGTCAGTACAGGATGTCATGGGAAGATGGTACACGTACCGCCCACAGGCTTGTACTCCACCATCTGGCCGTTCTGGTAGCGGGGCATTCTGACGCAAGTGCAATTGGAAGTTTCGTAGGTATCAAGATACGATGGTGTTGGAATTGGATATGGGGTAGATCTACACCTGGGCAGAGACAAGCGCATTCTTATAGAACGGCGTTGTGTCAGTATGAATCACCACTTCTGATCAAGAACCACGGGATAGCGAGTCTAGGTCCTCCTGCCAGCTATACTGTGGAGCATGCTTGCCTGCGATGCCCTCGCCATACGCCCGTAACCTGAAGTCTGTCAGGCCCACGTCATCCCAGCCCAACTTTATATACATCGAGCCACCACCTGCCTTTCCGCAGAACACCACACCGTCATGGCCAGTCTAGGCTCAACCACCATCGAACTACACGCCGCCGGCGCCCAGAGCGTACGTCTCGTCTAGCTACCCAACCAATGCATTGGAAATACTAATACTAATCACACCCCTCGCCAGGCCCAAGGCTCCCGCCCCGACCAACAAGACACGTACATAATCCTGACGTCCACAGAGTCCCCAGACAAAGACATAGACATAGACGAGTCAATCGCACTCTTCGCGGTCTTCGACGGGCAGTACGTCCACCACCCCCACAGAGACCGTAACTAAGAACCACAATGACGATGACGACAGCGGCTCGCCCGCCGTCTCCGCGCACGCAAAGCAGCACATCCCGCGCCTCCTCCTCTCCTCCCCCGAATTCAAAGCCGGCATGTACGAGCACGCCATGCAGGCCGCCATTGACCGCGAAGACGACCTGCTCATGCAGGGGTTCAACGAGGGAAACGACGCCTTCGCGGTGTCGGGGTCCACGGCGTCGCTGGCGGTGATTGATTTGAAGAGGGGCGTTCTGGTCGTTGGGAATATCGGCGACTCGCATGTTCTCTTGGCGGAGAGGGAGCCGGGGACGGGGAGCGTGATGAATGTTGTATGTTCATGTTTCCTTTCCTTTCCTTTCCTTTTTCTTTGACCATAGCAGGTTGGTTGAGGGTGGATTGGCTAACTACTGGGTGGACGGGCATAGAGCCGCCTGACGACAGCACACAAACCCGAAGATACCGAGGAAAAGGTACGCATCGAAAAGGCGGGCGGGGTGGTGCAGTCGCAGCACGACGTGCCGCGCATCGGCAGCCTCAACATGTCGCGCGCGCTGGGAGACTTGCAGTACAAGACGCCGCTGATCACGGCGGCGGACGCACCGAAGACGGATGGGCAACGGGCTGCGATGTGTGCAGATGCAGAGCCATCCAACGCGCCAACGCAGAATTATACTGGAACTGGAGCTGGAACTGGCGCTGGAACTGGCGCTGGAACTGGCGCTGGAACTCAGGGCGGGACGGAGAAGGCAACGGACGACCTGATCACGGTGCAGCTATCGTTCAAGCGGGTCGACCTGCGCAAAGACGCACAGTATATTCTTGCGCTGACGTCGGACGGGGTCACGAATGTGCTGGAGGACGGCAAGATCATGGAGGGGCTTGTGCAGATGTTGAATGCGGGGAGTCAGGCGGAGGATGCGGCGAGGGTGCTGGTTGACCAGGCGGTTGCGACGCCGTGCAGTGACAATGCGACGTGTGTGGCGGTCTTCTTGAATGGGAGCGAGGCGAGGATGGGTTGATGCATTTCCAAGGTTTACTACGCCGGCTGAGGTAGACATAGAGGAAAGAGATTAGATGGAATGGCATGAATCATTGGAAGTGTAAGCACATACCATAGTAGGCAATGCCAAAGCAGAATATACATATAGGGAGTTTGGCGCCATGTTCAAAGTATCCCATGATGGTGGTGACTCTATCACAACTCAGGAGAATGCGATCTCTATCCTAGCATGTCTAGAACACGTCCTCTATTACCTCTATCACGTCTATCACTTCCCAACCGCCGTCTCAGCAGAAGTAGGCGTCCCCGGATTCCCCGTGGCCCCAGCCTCCTTCTCCTCGAACCTCTCCGTCCCCGTCTCAGTCTGTGCATCGGAGTCATGATCATTCCCACGATCAGTCTCAGAGACGCCCTCCGCAAGCGTAACCCTCGGCCCGGTAAACACCTTCCTCGCATAGACAACATAGTACAGCATGCTCGCAATCCACACGAACCCATTGATCACAACGGTGTAGTTCATATCACCAGCTATATCACAATCAGCACACAACCCCATACCAATACCATAGACACAGAAATGGGAAAACTGGGGCAACTCACGCGCCGGATCCCTCACACTCGGAAACATACTCAGCAGCAGCCCAAACGCCAACCAGGCGACCGCCACGCCCGCAACAGGCTTACTGATTCTTCTGCCTGTGTAAAATACACCCGGGACAAAGCGCTTGTTCCAGATAAGACGGCAGAGGATCGGCGTGCCCCAGGCGACGTAGTTCGAGGCAACGAAGAGCGAGAAGAGCGCGTTTGCGGCGACGCTGTTGATCAGGGCCAGCAGGCCGAAGATGATGCAGATGCCGCCGAGGAAGACGATTGCGTTGATGGGCTGCGGGTGTCCGTAGATGGGTGTTATTTTGCGCAGGAGGGGCGAGAAGGGGAGGGCGTGGTCGCGGCTGAAGGCGAAGACTTGGCGCGAGGCGGCGATGATCTGGATACGCTATTAGAGGGGATGGGTGGAGGGATACCATAGAGGGACGTACCAGGCTCAGTCCGATCAGGAATTGGATGAGGATCAGCACGGCCATGAAGCCCAGTGCGCCGTGTTTGCCGAGGGCGTCGTAGTAGATCTGCATCCATACATCAGTCCACAATCCAAGCATGAGATGAATTGGTATGTCAAACCTGCGCCATAGGCTGCCCAAACACGCTCCCCGCCGTATTCGCAACAACCGGATCCATAACCGCCGCAATAACAGCCAGCACCAGAAACCCCAACACACACGCAGACGCCGCACTGAACAGGATGCCCCGGGGGACAGCCTTGGCGGCATCGCGCGCCTCCTCGCTCATATGCACGCAGCTATCAAAGAACCCAATCGCGTAGATGGGCGACATAAACGCCAGCACGAAGTTCCACCCGCTCGGCCAGTTCGACAGGTTATCGACGTGCCCGAAGACAAAGGCGCCGGAGTTGAGCGTTCCACCACGGGTTACTTTGCCGACGGGCAATGCGACGACGGTCGCGATGATGATGGCAACATTAATAAAAATGCAGGCCGTCTGGATGCGGGGCATGGCGTTGCTGAGCAGGATTGTGGACAGGGAGTGGATGATGATGAGGCCGGCGTAGAGGCCGTAGATTGTGCCGTTGGAGGCGGCCCAGGTGCCGTCGCGGGCGATGGAGATGCAGGCGAGGATGAGCAGGGAGAGCGTATCTAGTCACAATTGCCATTGTTAGCCCATCTGTGTTGAGAATACCAGGGTGGTGGGTGTACAATCAACCGAGCAGATCCCCCCAATCAACCCCAGGGTATTGCTATACCCGACCAGAAAGCTCAGCGGGTTCTTGAACCTCCTGCCTGCAAAGTAATGCGTCCACCAGTATAATCCACCCGCCGTGGGCATCGCGCTCGCCATATCGGCCATCGCCAGTCCGACCGTGAAGATCAGGATGCTGGCTGTGAACCAGCCCTATGACGCACGGGCAGTTAGCACCAGGCACTAGGCACGAATCCCTGCTAGTACCCGAAGGTACGGTACGCCTGAAGAATGTAAGGGAGACATACCCAGACCATGCCCGCGGGGCCGGCAGGCAGCGAAAACGCAATAGTTGATGCGATGGACGGGACGAGGCCCATGATGCTGAAGGCGACGGCGAAGATCTGGAGCGTGGAGTACGAGCGCTGCAGTTCTTGCTTGTAGCCCATTTTGGCGAGGAGTTGGGTGTCGTTTGTGGTGCCGCCAGCGCCCGGGGAGGGCGGGCGTGGTTCCTTTTCGCCCATTGTCGGCGCAGGTGTCGAGGGTGTGAGATGAAGGTTGAGAGAGAGGAAGAGAGAGGAAGAAGAGAGCAAGTGAAGTCAACCGGGAACTCCAGAGGGCAACCCACGATTAGGAGGGCCAAGCCAGGGGCCCCAGGGATCGGCAGCACGATCAAACCAGGGATTCCCAGCAGCAGACTAGCAGTGATGGTGGGTATTGCCATTGGACGATACGGGAGCAGTGGAGATGCACTGGGGGCATAGAGTTCGCTGGCCTGTCGGAGTCTCTACGGAGTCTCTGGATTTGATGACGATCAGCGGGCTGCATTGACTATGCGATTGTAATTATAGATTCCTGACAAATTGGTCTACTCCAGACTTTAACCTCACTTAAAACTTGAACTTGACTTGAACTTCAGTTGGATAACAGCTACACCTGCTCCTCTCCCGGCGGAACATGCGACTGCGGCTGGAGAGGAGCACGAGCATCATGGTTGTCCGAGCCAGCAGGCGCATCAACGCCCCCATTGCGAGGCGACACGGCATGCTGCAGCGTCGCCGAATCCGAATTCGAGTGCGACGGCCTCTGCATCGACGAGTCATACGATCCCGGTCCCCATTTCGCCTCCCACTCGTTAAAGTCCTGGCCCGGGTTGACGCTCTCATACGAGAAGAATGTGAGGAAGTAGTAGAACCCGCACGCCAGCAGCGAGCCCAGCAACGGGCCAACCCAGTAGATCCAGTGGTATCCGGGGAAGCTGCGGTTGATCACGTCCGGGCCGAGCGAGCGCGCGGGGTTCAGGGAGCCGCCGGTGTAGTAGTCGCCTGGTCGGTTAGTTATTGTCTCTATCTGGATGAAAGGATGAGAACGCACCGATCATCTCGGTCACGAAGAACGCGACGCCGATTGCGACCGGCGCAAGGAACGTGGACTTGTGCTTGACGACCGCCAACATGATGATCACGAAGACAAGCTGCGCGGTCAGGAACATCTCGATGAAGAGGCCTTGGGAAATCGACGTCCCGCCACCGAGTCTGGTTGTGACGTTCAGATCACCAGGGAATAGAGCACTGACAACACCTGCCGCCGCAATCCCCCCGATTATCTGCGCCGCAAAGACGAACAACCCCCGGAAGGCCGGCATGCCGCCAACGAGACAGAGAGCAAGCGTAACCTAACACACCCACATTAGCATGAACCCTCCCATCAACAAGCAAGAAAAGGACATACAGATGGATTGAACAACCCCCCGGTGACCCGGTAAAACGCCCAGATATTCACCATAAGCGAGAACCCAAAGCTCAGCGACGAGTACAGCAGCGCATCGGTATTCGGCGGCGCGCCATCAACCGGTTTCGGCGTATTAGCGACCTGCGTGCCGGCAAACGAGAAGAACAAGAACAGGAAGGTCCCGACGAACTCGCCAGCGACGGCAATGAAGTTGTTGCGCGTGGTATCGGCGAGCCGCAGCATGGGCAGCTGGTTCTGGTTGCGGCGCACGACGGGCGTCTGGCCTTGTCGCCGCTGGCTGGGGCGCCAGGGCTTGAAGACGCTGGGGATGCGGGTGCGCATTTTGGCAATGAAGATAATTCAGCGATGGGGAGGAGGGTGGATGGGAGGGGAAAAAGCAGCCTCGACATGGATCGGTGCTTTATACCCCAGACTCTTTCATCGAGGTTGCACCGCAACGTCATGACTGGGACTGGATCGGTCTCTGGGCTTGGGCTCGTGTTCGACGGCAGGGATGTCATCGGCTGCATTGAGCTCGTCTTGACGTCGAGTATTGACAAAGGACGCCCGGGATCGACCCATGGGTGTGGTGTGCCCTACCCTTGGGAGGAGTTACCCTGCCCTTGGAAGACGAGGACCGCCTCCAACCGCAGGCCGTCCATCTAGATAATTATAGATAACCAGCCGCCTGTCATTCGCCAGTTGCCCACGATAAGGTTGGGCAGGCAGCCAGTTGCAGTGCAGGACCGCTATCGGAATGCTGGGATCAACTCTATCGCTATCAAGCACCCGCACTCACATTCTATACCCCCGCTGGTTCGTTGTTGACTGCAGTCGCTTGCTCTGATCGTCAATCGATAATGGATAGCCTATAGAGTATAGGGCCTGCCTCGGTATAGGCGGCAGTGGCTCCGCGGAGAAAGGCTGCGGGGACCACGCCATCGCACCCGCGGAAATGCTGAGCCCGGCTGAATTTTTCTATACACCCCGCCCGTATAAATACCGCGGCATCGCCTCTCGTCTCTACGCTCAATTGCAACCTGCAAACCAAGCATCTACAATGGCCCTCACCCCCGAGCAGATCCCCCTCATCAAGGCCACCGTGCCCGTCCTGCAGGAGCACGGCGCCACCATCACCAAGCTCTTCTACGACAACATGCTCAACGCCCACCCCGAGCTGCACTCCGTCTTCAACGTCTCCAACAAGGTCCACGGCCACCAGCCGCTCGCCCTCGCCGGCGCCCTCTTCGCCTACGCCAGCAACATCGACAACCTCGGCGTCCTCTCCCCGGCCGTCGAGCGCATCTGCCACAAGCACGCCTCCCTCGCCATCCAGCCCGAAGGCTACAACATCGTCGGCAAGTTCCTCCTCGAAGCAATGGGCCAGGTCCTCGGCGACGCCCTGACCCCTCCCCTCCTCGACGCCTGGGCCGCCGCCTACTGGCAGCTCGCCAACCTCATGATCGCCAAGGAGGACGCCCTCTACAAGTCCGCCGACGGCTGGACCGACTTCCGCGACTTCCGCGTCGCCAGAAAGGTCCCCGAGTCCGACCTCATCACCTCCTTTTACCTCGAGCCCGTCGACGCCAAACCCCTGCCCTCCTTCCTCCCCGGCCAGTACGTCTCGATCCAGGTGCCCGTCCCCCAGCTCAACCACCCGCAATGCCGCCAGTACTCGCTCAGCGACCAGCCAGCCCCGACGTACTACCGCATCAGCGTGCGCAAGGATCCAGGCCTCAACCCCTCAGATCCCTCGGCCCCGACACACCCAGGCTACGTCTCCAACATCCTCCACGACACCATCCACGTCGGCGACACCGTCAAGCTCACCCACCCCTACGGCGACTTCCACCTGTCCGACCCATCCGCATCAACCCCCCTCGTCCTGATCTCCGCAGGCGTCGGCCTCACACCGCTAACATCAATGGTGAACACACTGCGAACCCCGTCCTCGTCCACGCGCCCCATCCACTTCATCCACGGCGCACACACCTCATCCTCCCGCGCCTTCCACGCACACCTAGCATCCCTGCCGAACCTGCGAACAACGCATTTCCTCACCGCGCCAAGCGAGTCCGACAAGGAAGGCGAGACCTACACGCAGGCCGGCCGCGTGGATCTATCCAAGATCGCCGACGCGGACCTCTTCCTCGACGACAAGGCCACCGAGTACTACATCTGCGGGCCGACGGCGTTCATGCTGGCTAGCAGGAGCGCGCTTGTTGCGCGGGGCGTGGACGAGGCGCGCGTGCACATGGAGCTTTTCGGGACGGGTGGCGTGCCTGCGTGAATAAGAGTGCCGGTGCCGGTGCCGATGCCAATGCGCAGCGTAGCTCGAGCCCAGGTCCACCACGATCGAGGCTGTGGCTGCGAGTTAAGCAGGCCTGTGCTGTGTTGCGTTGCGTTGACGAGTAACGATTCGATTTGTTCTGTTTTTTTCTTCCGTAATGATATCCCAATCCCGACTCTGTTATGTAATTAGAATAGATTTAGCCAATTATATCTCCTCTCTTGAATTGAATTGATGCGTTTGCAAGTAACCTGAACTCCAAGTAGTGTCCGCTGACGCCGTCGACCTCACTGCGCTTCGGCCGAGCTAACTTATGGCGACGAGATGATTGGTTGAGATGGGCGGGTGGTCACGGGGCGCTAGCCGGGTTCTCCCGACACACATGTCATCAGTGCACAATTAGTCATGGGCACATATCAAATTATGCAGATGGTTATGTTTTTACGCACTGCCGCCGGGCGTCAACTCAGCACCGCCACAAGACGAAACCGGAGTACGACGGCAACGCGCGGGGCCAGATCTCCCCCGGCCACGGCCACCAGCCATAAGCCTCAATCTCAAGAGACCGGTCTTCTTAGCAATCAACGCCTGAAGGATTCTCGAACGTACGACGGCGCAGGACACCCAAAGCCCGACACCGCTCCCCATTCCCCGCATCAAACCCCGGCATGGACTGACACGTCCCATCGCCTACGTATATGTATCGAGGCGTCGGCACTGTTTCTCACTGTCAGTTTCAAGGCAATGGATGCCGGGACGACGAGCTGGTCATCGGGCCAATTGGGCGACGAGGAATGTCGGAAGTTGGGACAGATAATCCTCGCGCCACCTCGATCCGCGATCTCGATTCGAAAATGGGAATGAGATTAGGCAAGGCAACACGAAGTTGTGTTACGTCGATCTGAAAGAGAATGCCAGCGGCTGGATCTGGCGCGGACGTATCGACTGAACGGTTAGGCCGATTGTCAATCCGACTGCGAGTGAGGAATCTGGATCTCGAAGTCGAAGTCGATACATCAATTTGGTGTTGGCAGAGAAATTGTCGCACCGCATTTCCTCAATTCACGAAGCTCGAATCGCTCGGCTGAGGATAGTCACTCGCCTGGCCCTGCTCGTTCAGCCTGGTTGCCTTCTCAGCTACTAGCAATCCAAGCGATGCGGCGTCGACCAGACCTCGGATTCGACTTCGCGAGGTTTGGACGATGTGGGCGGGATACGTATCACAGCCGACTCGGTTCCCATACGGAGTGCATGCGATCATAGAGTCCACGAGGAAAACGTGATGACGTCCGCGTGACCAGCACCTCTCCCATGCGTGGTGTGGGATCACCCGGATGCGCCTGGCCCTGATGGAGCCGGCTCGGTTCGCCCTCCCGAGCGATAACCCATGGTCCGGGCTGACCGGCCAATGCGCATGTACGTGATTACTGATTAGCGATGGGTCGGAATTCGCGTGAGGGCGATATCTAGCGCGGGGGGTATTCCGGGCATCTGCCGTTGAGGCAGTTGGCCTCCAACACGGCTCGACATCCGGCTTCGATCTGCACCTTCACCTCACGATCGTGTGCCGGCCAGGCTGAAAGCCTGAAACTAGAGCAGCATCCATGGCAAGGGTGTGTTTCGTCAGACTCGTACTCCGCCCCTGACTTGGAGATGAGTCGAGACTCGACGACTGGTAGTGGTAGCGGCAACAAGGCAACGGGCCCGGCTGCAGTAACTTTACCCGTGCAGATGTCAACGGGGCTCGCGACGGCAGATCGTCGTCTCCGCAGTAGCTAGCCTACACCCTCTGGCCTGCATCGATCAATACCCACTTAATCAAGCCCACTTAGTAGCTAATAGCGCTGTGTAAGAGTTGAACAGCTAGCCTAATTAGTATTAGTTAAAGCTATTCCCGAGGCTATTTGCTGTTTTATTTAAACTACTTTAACTACTTTAAACTTTTTATAATATATTAACTTTTTAAGGCCTACATAACTCTAGCGTTGTTTTAGGTGGTAATTTTAATATACTAAAGCTATTTAAAGCTTAGGATTAGTGTAGTAATATTCTTAGCAAGGGGTAAAGTTATTTAAAGTGCAGGATTAATACAGGGATACTGCTAAGCAAGAAGATAAAGTTATTTAAAAATTATTAGATAGACAAGAGAAATCTAGTAATCTTTTTTTATGGTGTTAAGCTATAAGAAAGGCTAGTTTACTAACTCTCTTTCTTTTTATTAGCCATAAATTCCTTAATTTAATTTTTTTAATTTCTTTAATTTCTTTAATTCTCTAAGCAAGATGTTTACTCCTTCTTCTCCTCGTGATGAGATCCCTAAGACTCCTTAGATTTTTTAAACTTTTTTACCTTTTCCGCCTGCTTTAGTAGTAATTTAATTTTTTAAGAAATCTATATCTTTTCCACCTGTTAATCTTTATTGCCTCTAGTGTATTTAGGAGCGGATTATATTACCCTTTTTTTTTTTAGAAAAACAAGTTTTTCCTACTAATTATTTAAACTAAAAAAAGGCGCGGGCTCGCAAGGTAGTAAAAAAATATAAGGTTATTTAGGCTTTTTATAATTATAAGATTAATATAGCCAAGATAGCTAAATCTCAAGGCCTTTTTTATTTAACTATATAAATAATTACTTACACGCCTGAGTTTGCTTTTCTAGGTTAGTATAAGTAATAATTATATTTTAAGCTAGATTAAAACACTATACTGGCCTATTTTAACTATTTTAAAGTAAATTAACTTAAGCCTTTTTTTTAATAAATTAAAGAACTCGGCCTTAACTACAGCCCTTAAACTTTTCGCCGCTTTTATAAAATATATAAATATAAGTTTTATAAGGCCAAAGCTTAGCCTTTTCTTACTAATTAACACTAAGTTACTTGTTTTTCCTGGGCCATTAATTACCTTTATTTAATAAAAAAGAAATGGGCTTTAATCGCCTGGAGTAATAAGACCTAGGTTTTTTTTAGTTATTATACTAATATATATATTCTTTAGTATAAAAATAAGCGCTTTAATTCTAACGCGGTAACACCTTTTTATTAAAAAAAAAGGGCCTAAATATTCTGGGGATTCTTTTATAAAGCCACTAAGGGGCCTTTATTTATTTAGCCTAGGGGAGTTTAAGTTAACTTTAAGATATATACTACTAATATCTTACCTTTTATTAAGGCTTATTTCTAGCAATACCAAGGCCTTATTTTTATATAAAATAACGCGCTAGCTTATACTACTAGAGTAACTTAGCAAGCTTTAAAAAAAAGGTAGATTAATACTATAAAATAGCTATTTTTATTCCCGGATCTTAACCTTATTAAGTCTCTTTAAAATATTATAAAGCACTAAATTTAAAATAACTATTTAAAGTATATGCCTAATAATAACGCCCAGGCAAGGATTATTTAAAAGGCCTAGGATATAATTATTTTTAAAACTTTTAATACTTTAATTAAGACCATGCCGGCCTAAGTTCGCGCTGTAATTACTACTAGGGGTGGCTACACGTAGTGGTAGTTTTAAATAGCTTTATTTTTAGTATTTACTAGTCTTCCCGCTTTTTTTAAGCCCCTCCGCTTCTTTTTAGCTTATATAGTTACTTTTTTATATTTAAATTACTTTATTCCAACCCTATTTACTTATTTTTAGCTTATATATTAACTTTTCTAGGTGCGAATAGCTTTATTTTAACCTCCCTTTTTTATAGCGCTATTTTTTGCCTATAATCACATGGCCTATAACTTATTGTTATAATTCCCTATATAATTATATAGTTATAAATAACAAGTGTGTATTAGCGCTGTGGGCCCGATCGGGTGGGTATTGATCGATGCAGGCCAGAGGGTGTAACGGCCGCGATGCGTCTGCGTCTGCTTGTGTTTGCTTGCGTCTGCTGTACGTTTGTAGGAGACAGGCTAGGAATATCCCGGTCCGCTGGTCGGCGGCGCTGGCAAATCGGGTGAAATTACGGGAGGGCATCCTGGGCGCCCTGAAGATACTGGCTGGCACCAGCGAGATCTGGAACCGTACTTTGTCGCAGACTCGCAGACTGCGCCGTCACGGGCGCAATTCAGCTAGTGCGCTTGGCTGAGGTATAGCTGACGGGGGTATAGGGCATAGCAAACAGGCTGAGACAGAGGGCGGGAATAGTCATAGCCGGCGACAGGGTCCAGCTCCACCGCGCCCTACTGGAAACCGATATCCGTGGGCGAAATGACGAGTCCAGGCAGGTGACGGGTGAGGTGACGCGGAGAGACTGCATCCGTCAGGCCACGGCAGGTGTTGGCGATGAGGTGTTGGGACGGGGCGGAGGGCGCCGATGAGCTGTGCTGTTGCAGGTTTCTTTCGTATCTGACAGTAGAGATGGCGACCGTCGACACTCGACACTCGACAGAGATGCGAATGATTGTGGAAGAGTTGTGTAACGACGACATCAGGGCTGTCCAGTGCAAACGTCGGCATTACACATCTGGTGGCCGGCTCCGAGCCCCGGCCGAGACAGGCACCTTAGACCTTAGACCTTAGGACCTTACGGAGCACTACTAACTGCTAATGGTAGAGTTGGCCTAGTTACACGAATCGAGGATCAACGATCGGTCCGCCGCTCCACCGCTGTCAGACTTCACTGTCAGACTTGCTCGACTCCCTACTTTTCCCTCTAGACCAAGTCGGACCCGGCCGATGCCCACTCTACTGCCTCTGGAATCACTGCTTCCGGCTGGGGTGACTTCGGCTGCCTGCAGAGATTGTCATCGCTGTATCAACCCTTCGGGTCCTGCCTCGGGAGTATACTCGCTATATAAGAGTTCGCGTTCCATCCTCTGCCTGTGCTTGCCACCAATATCATATCATCTTGTCCTGTCATCATTGACTAGCCTACAATAGCCTGCAACAACCCAACACACCCAACCAACTCATCAGCTCATGGCGTACATGTCTCCTGATCCCCTGTCGGCCAATTGGTCCTACGACAGCGCCATCGACCTCTTCTCCCTCAACACCATGGTCCCCGAGTCCTTCCCCATGGACATCCCCAACGACATGCTCTGGGACGCAAAAGACCTGCCCGCCGACTTCTTCGCTGCCCCGGCCGACATCAACGGCTTCACTGTCTCCCACGACGAGTCGCTTTCTTCTGTATGCCTCATCCAATCCCCACTCCATCCATACCATACTCATCATCATGTTCTTAGGACCAAGAAAGCGACGACCAAGCCTTCTCCCCAACAAACTTCATGGCCTCGACGCCCCCCTCCGCCTCAACCCTCGACCTCCCCTCCCCAATGGCCATGGCCATGAACACAAACATGAACATGCCCATCAAGCTCGAGCCGCAAAGCCAACACACCGTCAACCCCATCCACACCCAACCCAAACGCAAGGCCTCCATGATCTCCACCTCCTCCTCGCAGTCCCGCTACTCCTCGTCCCCGGACCTCCCCCCACAAGACCCCTCGCCCCAGCCGCAACCAACCCGCAAATCGCGCTCTTCAAATTCAAACGCCAACGCCAACGGCGACGAGAGCACCGCGCGCGGCCGCAACGCCGCGAAACGCGCCGCCCACAACATCATCGAGAAGCGCTACCGCACCAACATGAACGCGAAGTTCGTCGCGCTGGAGAAGGCCATGGCCGTCAAGACAAGCGGGGTGTCCAAGTCTGTTTCCGCGTCGAATTCAAGTCACGGCGTCAAGTCGAGTGCCTCGCTCAAGAAATCCGAGATCCTGAGTAATGCGATCGCGTACATGCAGGAGCTGCAGGAGGTCAATGAACGGTTGAGGAAGGAGCTGAGCGCTGTGAATCGCGAGCGGAGGGCTGCGGCGTATTGCTAGCCGACCGTCTTTTTTCTTTCTTTTCAGTGACTGGAGTTCTTGGAGTTAGTTTTGATTTGTTTTCTTTCCCTGTCTTTGCTGGACTAACTGCGTCCGGGTATCAGTTGAGTTCGTGGTGGACTACTGTACTATACAACGCTTTTTTTGGTTTCTCGATTCGATGAGATAGACCTCCTCCTGTCTGGCGCTTGGACTTGGTCTTTTTCTTTTTTTCCTTTTCTTTGGTGACGCATGCATGGGCTACAGATACCCGGGTTTACAAAAGTTGGTCTGGTCTTTTTGTTATTACTCGCTGTGGATGGATTCTCGGCTTGACCTCTCTACTACCTACCCTACACTACATACACTCATACAGGTGCAATGTGAGGATACATAATAATCAAATCTTCATGAGACATTTCTCTCATTCATTAATCCGCCGCTGCCAAGTGCAAACATTATTTCGTACATAGCACCCGCTTTGGCAATAGATCGGATTTAACCGCAGTGCAAGCTAGCTAGTAACGAACTAGACTTGAACTAGTGACTGCCATAGCTGCTATAAATAATAATAAAGACTTTAGACCCGGCAGAACTTCCGAGCTTCCGCCACGTTGCACAGAGGCGGGGTCTGGGCAAGGCAGAGTGCACATTAGGTAGCCTGTAGGTATTATTCCCTGCCTGGGATGGTTGTGCACGTGTGCTGAGAGACTTCTGCATACCGATATGGATGTTGAACCACCATCCCCATCCAGACTCCCCAGGAATTGACATCGATATCTGTTCAGAATACTACGCCGTACTCATGCCTAGCGACCATTCCGAAACTATATTTGCATGCATCGACAAGCAGCGCCATATCTATCTCCCTGTCCTCGCAGTTCCACTAAATACACCCCCTACTTTATCCTGATTGAATTTAATGCTGATATTAAAGCCAACTAGCCGAACACCTACAGCAAACTAGCTTAGTCCCCGAGTAGGCCCAACGGCCAGGCCCACGCAATTAACTACCGAGCCCGGACTCCGTAGCGGCGTAGCCCCTGGCCCGGCGCAGTCAATAGTCAATTTAGCAAGTTATATCATATATGTAAAGCATTACTCATCTCGCTTACTTTTAACCGAGAAAGTGGAATCCAGCCAAAGCGGAAAGGGGAATCGATTCGCATTGGCATTTGCATACCTAGGGCATGGCATAGGGCACGCCAATTGCCCGGCCGAGTCGGTCGCGTCCAATCCCGAGTGATTTCCGAGCCAAGGCATTGATATTGAGGGGCGGTCTTGGTCTTGAATAATGGCTTATCCACTAGATCGGGCACACAAATTCTCTTTGAGACTGGCAGTGGCAGAGGCAGAGGCAGAGAGTCCAGAACGTGACGGACGAAAGGAAGCAAAACTCGCACTGTAGCGAATTCTAGCGATGGACACGTCTAGCCCTGCCCTTGCCCCAGTCTTAATCCTTAGAGGCCGTCGGCATTTTAGCTAGCGACCGCCGACGTCCCTAGGTAGATAGGCCAGGGCTGTATCAGCATCAGCATCAAGCATCACAAAGAGAAAGTCTCCAAGGCCGAGGCCAAGACGGACAAGACATTTTGCTCCGTCGTCACGGCCCCCACCTGATTGATTCGTGACGCCGAGGGCTTGGAGGCGTAAGCCAGCAAACGCGAGCTCGAACGGTCGAGATGCAGATGTGAAGCCCTAACTTCGGATGGCTTTCTTTGTTCTATCTCTTGGGGCGGATATTCGGCCGAACCGATTAGAGTTCCTTGCAGGCCGGGAATGTTTCCAAAGGCGAATAAGCTGCCTGGGGTTGCGAGGTAGAATGTCGAGGGTATGTTCAATGGTCGCATGCAGAACGGATCTCTGTTGCAGGTGCCTTTGCTGTCATGCTATCCAGGGCGGATTAGTGCCCCTGCCCAGAAGAGTATGTCCAGCTTGCCTTATCTTTTTCCCCTTGCCATATTGAGCATTAATATCTCCTCGGGTTGCCGGTTAGGGTTGAACAGGATACCCGCGTCACCGTTGCGCTATACCTACCATCCCTAATGGGTCGGTCTCAGGTAGAACGCATCATTGGGGAAGCGGCTGTGTCGGGCCCCTTATTACATGTAGCCGACCCTGATACAATGTATGATCAGTTACATTCTCCGTACGGTAGAGGACACCGATGATTGACGGAGTCCCGTTAGCCACGGATATCCTGCTGGTTTGCATAAGCTCTTGTCTATCAGCTTCACAGGCGTACCTAGGCACTTCTGCCTACCTATGATAGGTCCATCGATTCTGAATATACCTAGCTTGGCAGTTAAATAGTTCTGAGATGGTTCTGGAAGAGAGCTATGCATTCATTCACTAACCTTAATCAATGGTATCTATCGGATCCTGCTGCGTAAACCCTGTCCAAACCCATCCTCATCCATCGCCATCGCCTACCTAATCCAGTCTCACTCACAGCATACCTAGGCCTTCCAGAAACATTACTACCTAGCCATACCGCGCCTCACCATCGACGCAATCTCCCCGCTCCCAGGCAAACTCTCATCCACAAACCCAAACCGCTCATACAGCCTCGCCCCAGCCTTACTCGCATCCACGTACAGCGCGACGCCGTCCCGATCCGCGAGCTCGCATCCCCACTGCAGGAGCATCGAGCCCGCCCCGCGCCGGTGGTACGCGGGATGCGTAACGAGGGTATCGAGGTCTGCCCATATCGCACATCAGTCCCGTCACCAGGGTGTGGACAAGGTACCAGGATATAGTACAGTAATGCTTCAACCCCCTCATAACGCGCGCCCTCTCCCTCTCCTCCCGCCCAAAGAAAGCCTCGCATTCAGCTCCGGCATATCAGTAGCCCAGGGCGGATAGCGGTCTCCGCGCATCTCAGGCGAGGACGTGTCCCATTTCGCGTACGCGACTATGCGCTCTTTACCCTCGACTTCCACGGCAGCGTCAACGACTTTCACGTACTTCTGGAACGGCTTGCGCGTTGCATCGTGGGTGTTTGCGGCTGTTAGCCAGGCGCGCACGGCTGGGGTGTCGGGGAAGAGACGCCGGATTGCGGGGTCTGTGAAGGCCGCGAACCAGATGGGGGTTAGGCAGGGGATGTCCGCTGGGGTTATGTGGGAGAGGATGAGGGTGGTGGGTTTGGTGGGACGAGGCATTTTTTGCGGATGTTATACGACGTGTATGATGGAGGAGAGGCCGGGGAAAGATAGGTCATACAGTAAGGTTAATTTGGAGGTGTTGGTGGTGACAGAAAACTGAAGAGCGAGGGTCGGCTTGGGCCGCGCGGCTTGCAGGTGCTGGGATCCTGTAGATCGTTCGGTCTGGCCACCCATGCGATGGGGCTATCACAGTAGTAGCGCTATCCCTTAGTCTAGTCGGTTACTATCGGGGTGAGAACTGCGAAGGGTGGTACAAAGTCGAGCCGCTGCCCCTCGTTACATGCTTGCGACACCATCCATCAACGGCCTCATTTCGGTCCCATCTTCTCCCTCCAGAGGAAACTCAAAAGATAGCTCCCCAACTAAGGCCTTCACGTTCCTAGCCTGTCGTCAGCACTATCAACAACTCAAAAACAAAAGTACCAGCCGAGAACATACCCAAGCAATTCCCCAAGCCCAGCACCAACAACAGACCTCAACACCTCCAGCGTCACGAACGCCGAGAACGCCGGGTCCTGTATGTGTCGCGTGCTCATCAAGTCCCTGTCCGTCTGTTGCACCCACCGCGCAAGCGGGAATGATGTCCCGGTAGACAAGTACGGGGGTAAGGGCTGGGCGTTGAGTACGGCCGAGCCGAGATGACACAGGAGAGAAGTCGTCGCGTGCGATTTGAAGTCTGCAGAGTGCAGGGCGATTCCTGCGAGGCGGGCGGACCATTTGGTTCTGCCTTTTTCTTCTGCGCTGGCATTTTCCGTGGGAGTCGACGGGGACTGAGGCTGGAGATGGAGTGACTGTGCCGCCTGAGCCATCAGCGCCATGCTAATGAACATCCGCTGAGCTTCGTTTATGATAGCGTCATATGCCTCTCTCGGAAATTTCCCACCGATGCGTGGTTCAAATGTAGTGAAGTGGCTGAGTGTGCGTAGTCTCGTCAAAAGGCCCATCCCCTGCGCGAAAAGTCTCTGTCTGCTCTTCTGTAACTCCTGCGCTGCAGACCGCGCATCGGACGCAGGGCGCAGTTCCTCGTTCATCCGCAGCTCTATGCTAGCGTGCATGCAGCTGTAGAACCGCGCGAGAAGAAGTAGTCCCTCTCCGAGGGATTTACGCAGAGTGCGTTTTGATGTCACGGGGTAGGGGAAGATCACCCAGATGAAGGAGATTGCGCAGCCGGCTGCGACGGCGAGAAGCTTGTATGGGCCGAACAGGTAGATTGGGTAGTAGGGCTGGCCGTTGGAGGTACCGACGTCGAGGCCGAGTTTGCGGATCTATCATTGCGACGGATTACTGTTAGAATATTTGAGATTAATTTGGTGGTTAGAGGATCTTACCTGCAGCTCGTATCCGACGATTACATTCAGAGTGACGATTGCGATGACGGAAGGCCCGAATAGTTGCGGTTTGGTGACGTAGAAGTAGTACTACCCTTTTGTTAGCTATACTTCTTCCCCGAGTACAGTCAACGACTCACCTCGAAAACATTCGCCAGGTAGAGAAAGACAATCACTCCGGCAGTGTGTTGGTCAGGTATATACCACACCATCAGGCTTAACGCGAGCGAGACAACCGTAGCCGCAATGCGCGTCATAAACCCGAACAAGGTCTGTCCGCTGGTTGGACTCATGCCTATGACTATCACAATCATCGCCCAGATGCATCGTTGGCGTATAAAGAAGTCTTGCGTTTGGTGCAGGTAGGCTAGGATCCCAACGCAGAATGAAGCGGCCGCGACGCGAAAGCCGAATATGCTTTCTGGAGACTGGAGGAATCGTGAGATGATGGGAAGGACGCTGCTTGTTTTCTCCCACGTGGTGAATGCTGGGAGGTGCTCGGGATTTGGGTACAGCGGTTGGCCGTTACTGTCCTGACGAGTTATTGAGAGCCATTTGAGCATTGAGTGGATGGGTAGGATAACCCTGTTTCGGCTCATGGTGCCGTCTGCAACTTTTGATTCTGCAAACATCATGAACTCTTGTGTCGCCTTGAGCAGATTATCTTGAAGTTGCAGGATATATAGTGCAGTGAAGGTTTCCTGTCGGACTTCGGCGTCGAGTGTACCAGCGGTCGCGTCGTCTAATGGTCCGTCCCTTGTCTCCCACGCAAAGGCATCGGGAGACACGAGGGCTTGTGAAAGGTGTGTCCTTCTGGAGTGGTGCTCTTGTACCTGCTTCCGATACTGTGCAGGGAAGTGCTGGTCCATCGGATTCAGACTATGTCCCGCCTCTGCATCGTTCTGAAATCTCCCGCGCAGATGTTTCAATCTGACAAGTTCCAACTTCAAAAGCGCGTATTGCAGTCCAATGTTCACTAGATTTGAGCACTCTTCAAGGTGGCCGTGAAGAGAAGACGTGACACGCTCAGTATCTGTTCTGGACGGCATTTCTCCGGTATGGTTCCTTGAGGCCTCCTGCGCTTCCTGCTCTGGGGTCATATCTAGTATGTCCGGAAGCATTGCCATGCCCGAAAGAGGCAGAAACAGGTTCCGCAGACAATCCCTGATTTGACTCAGGTCGCTGGCCGAAAGCTTGCCCCACGCAATCTCATCCTTCGAGTATACAAGGTCAGCCTGCAGTTTCGCATGTAGCGCATTCAGTCCTGCTATCGCCGCTTGAAGTTCTTTCCTCGACTCCATTGTCGAAGTCCCATCCGTTTCCTGCTGCATTTCAAGTCGACATCCGAGATCAGCCCAGACACTAGAGCTCTTCCTCACGAAGTCGCTCTGGGCCTCCAGCACATTCTCAACTAGCGCCGCATATCGTCGGATATCCTCGAACACATATCCTCGGCTAGTAACCGGGTAAACCAACAACGAAACCCCCGTCGCAATCGCAAATCCCAGCATGAACCCCTTCAACAGCCTCAAAATAAACTCCAGTCCATCGGAGACAGTCACAAATGTACCTGCGCGTGTCAAAGTGACGCACGTGAAGATTGAGAACGCAACCATGGCATCCTGTAGCTCCGCCGTCCTCCACGCGCGGAGGGCGTTCGCGCCCCAAATCATCATGATCAGCCATACTGCGGAAACAGCACAGGCGTCGGAGCTATACGTGTCTTGCTGAGCATTCCCCGAGACATTGTGCCCTCGAGCCTTGACAGCGCAGAACACAGCAAGGCAGCAGAGAGACGCAGCGACACAGGTTGATAGCAGATCGAAGAAGATGATTTTCATGAACTTTGCTCGGGGGAGCAGCGCTTGTGCTGAGACGGCTATCAAGGCGGATAGGTAGCCGATGGTGAGGGTGATGTTGGCGATCGCGCTACTTTGGTGGATTGCGATGATGATTGTTGGTGGGAGTGCGCCTTTTAGCATCATCAGGAATGTGTGGGTGTCGAGGTGGAGGGTTTGGCGCCATGTTGATGGGCTTAGTGTCCTGGACAGTCAGTGCTGCGTCTATATTGGGGAAATGGTGATTACCGGATGAGATTGGAGGGCAAGAACATGATGCTGCGGTTGCCCTGCCCGGGCGCAGGTCTGTGCAAAAGCTTTTATGGCGATGGGTCGATATATAAGCTTTATCAGGCTGGAGTTCCGTGACCAAGTCCCGCGATGGTGATGTGGGTTGTTCGGGCCCGGGGTCGGCATCAGTGGTTCGGGATCCCGTCTCGGATCTTATCTGGATACATCCATTATCCATGGACTTGTAGTGTTCAACGTCTAAGCATTGCAGATATGCTCTATACTGGTCACTCTGTCTTGCTGACCATCTTAAAGCGCATTTGACCTACTAAGTCAGCAGTCAATGGAGGAATCCGGCCTCCGCATGTGGGCTCTCAGCCACTCTCTGCCAGCTATTTTACTTTAACTGATCTCCGTTTGCTCTCTGGACCGAATTGTCATGAAGCATAGTCCTTATAGCTGCGTATACTGTCTTTCCAGCGCATTGTTCCAGTCCTCGGACAGGGCGGTTATAATCGGCGGATAAAGTCAATCCCGCTCAGGGGTGCGCTCCGTTCAACGTGAGGTCGTCTTGAGGTCATGAATAAGTTTCATTCTAGACTGCGCAAATAGCATTCCCTGCAAGGAGTGAATCCGGAGAGCAATGCTATGCTCTGTTTATTCCGTAAGGGTGGACGTCATCCTTAAGGCTGCATCTAGGCAACACAATATCCCTTCAGTCTGGTTCTATTCTCAGCCATGATGGCCTCCAGGATGTCGCGTGCGTCAGGGCCAATTTGACTCAGCATGATCAGTGGCAATCCAGCGACAAGTCGTTCAGGCAAATAAATTGGCTCCGGCTGTGTGTTGGTGTTGCGGAGAGAAGATGGAGCATGGCTGAGCGGATGGCCCACTCGCGGAGATCCTCGCCACAGCGTCAGCGTCGACCATAATGAACGATAGAATGAGAGCTGACTAAAGCGTATGTAACTGATCGATCCGTTGTCTGTTTGAAATCCTCTGTCTACATCATCCCTAGCCTCCAGGCAGAAATGAGTAGTGTGCAGAAGGAGCAGAGATAATGACGACATCAACAAGCACATGGTAAATTACCGTATTGGGGTATCTGTCGGGACCGGAAAGACCGCTCCGGGGCCTACGGCCAATCAAAACCACGGAGCTCAGCCCGTGGTGGCGGTGCAGTCTGCCATGATTGGTGGCCTTACAAGGCACTGAGCTGAGTCTTGCTGATCATCGTCATTGCGTTTCGAGAGAAGATTCCAGATTTCAGTCACCTGGAGAGCATTCGAGCTCCTTGCTTGTAGTACAGTAGCGGTATGCTGCGATGGATGACGAAAAAGATGAGAGACGAAGAGACTGCAGGGTATGGGTAAGGCAATAATTGATGAGTTGTGGCAGATCCATGGATGAAGCAAGACGCGTAAGATTGATGTACCGTTCCTGGAGATAAAGAGGAGATGAGATAAGATGCTCCAAGAACGCGACTGCTATAAAGCAACTGCACAGCTCTACGGATTCAGCAGCATTGATTTTGATTCAACTTCTTGTCTACTCTTAGACACTCCTAAGTCAACAATACTTTGGCTTCTGTGCCTTGCAAAAACCGTGGTCCAGACCAACAGTGAGGCGTGATCTCCGGGCTTGGCATACGTACTAAGCCTCGCCCTGGCTGCGCCTGAAGCTTCTCTCTCTTTCCTCCTCGTTTGCTTCTTCTTCTCTTCATCTCTCCTTCATCCACCTGCCTCTGCCTTCTTGGCTTTTCTCCATCCTCCATCCACCTTCGGCCATCACTCTTGGTCTTGAATTTATGCGTAAGTCTGCTCCTTTTTCTCGCTGACATCTCTTTCTTGGCATCTTATCCCTGTCAGCTCCAGTCAGCGCGCTGGCCGCCTGTTGAAGTTGAATAGCCTCTTCAACAAATAGGGGATGCGGATGTTGGACAAGGACCACCAGGTGGCTTCATCAAGTTCTCAGCCGGCTGACTTGTATCTTTTCTAGACCGTATTCGTTCGTGGGCGAAAGCTCACGCTTCTACCTCCTCCGCCTCCCAACCCCAGCCCTCCTCCCCAGAATCCACCGAACGTCCCGATGATCCCGATATACGAAACCAAAATGATCAAGTGAATAAACCAACCGGTGACCTGGCTTCGGGTTCACCCACCGATGATACCTCCGAAAAGAAGGGCTTAGTCCCTCGTGCGAAGGACGGCAGCATCCGCTTCTTTCGCCACACCAGGACGGCAATATGCCATAGCTGGGTCAATGTCCTGCTGGTTTTTGTACCGGTCGGAATTGCCGTTGAGGCAGTTGGACTCAGCCCGTCGATCATCTTCGCTATGAACGCCGTCGCTATTATACCGTTGGCTGGACTGTTGAGCCATGCTACCGAGAGTGTAGCCAGTCGCTTGGGTGATGCCCTTGCAGCTCTCCTCAACGTCTCCTTCGGTAACGCGGTCGAACTGATCATTTTCATTATTGCTCTGGTCAAGAATGAAATTCGCATCGTTCAGGCATCCCTGATCGGTTCGATTCTAGCGAATCTTCTGTTGATTCTTGGAATGGCCTTCCTTCTTGGAGGTCTCCGTTTCCAGGAACAAATCTACAACAGCACCGTCACTCAGATGAGTGCTTGTCTTCTCAGTCTGGCCGTCACGAGCCTTCTTCTGCCGACTGCTTTCCACGCATCGTTCAAGGACTCGGATGTCGCCGACAACAAAACGCTCAAGGTCTCTCGGGGAACCAGCGTCGTTCTGCTTCTGGTTTACGTTCTCTACATCATTTTCCAGTTGAAGTCGCACGCCTACCTTTACGCCAGTATCCCTCAGCAGATTATCGATGAGGAATCTCACCCCGGTGTGCTAGCTGATTTCATGGACTCGTCATCCGACTCATCGAGTAGCTCGTCATCAGACGAGTCGGACGATACGACGACCTCCTGGACTACAGCGAAGCGGATAAAGCGTGCCATGAAATACAGAAGGCATCGAAAGGCAAGCGTCAGCTCGCGGGGTACAACCTCGCCTGAACTAGTGCAAAAGCCCTCCGCTGTCGATGTCTCGTCTTTGCCACCGCGCAATTTGAGTGCCACCAGTGCTTCCAGCCCTGACCAGCGCGAAGACACTGCGTCATATATTGCGGACGTGGAGAAGGACAGACAAACGACCGAACCGCGGTCTCGTGACTTTGGCGACGACGGTCTCCTGAGCGTGGACGCCATCACAATCGCCAGCCGATCAGACGGTCCCCAGTCTCGGGACTTTGGTCAAGTGCCAAGTATTCAATTCAGCGAGACTGACCATCGACGATCAAGACGTGAACGGAAGAAGAAGAAGAAGGCTGCCAAAGACGAGGCCAAACAGCCCATCGTTCCAGAACCGCCTCAGCCTGCAACGAACCCTCGCGTGTCTGCGCTGTCCGTTCAACCAGGCGAGACCGCAGACCTTCCCCGAAAGTGGTCTCCGTTCCGCCCGAACCTCCCATCTCTGCTGTCAAACACCGTGTTTGCCACACCGTCACCAACCGCTTCAAACGATCCATTTGGCAACTTCAACGGCTTGCGGCGTACACACTCCCTGCCATCCATGAGCCAGCATCCTGCTCCCCAGCGTGCACAACGGCCTCACGCAGTCGGCAATGCTGTTGGTTTCGCCAGAGTAGCTGCGCGTATGCCACCCGCAGTGAACCCCTCGGCTGAACCGCAGCCGAAGGAGCAGGAAGAGGCCAATATGTCCCGTACCGCCGCGGTGGTTCTGTTACTAGTCTCTACCGGTCTCGTCGCAGTGTGCGCCGAATTTCTTGTCGATGCTATCCCGGCCATGGTCGGCAATGGCTCCGGTGTCAGCGAGGCCTTCATTGGTCTCATTATCTTGCCCATTGTCGGTAACGCCGCGGAACACGTAACTGCCGTGACCGTCGCTACCAAGAACAAAATGGACCTCTCGATTGGTGTCTCCGTCGGGAGCAGTATTCAAATCGGTAAGCCCAGTCTCATCTTTCTAGCCTCTTCCGACTCACTAACCGTATCTTAGCAATCTTTGTCACGCCCTTGGTAGTCATACTCGGCTGGATCATGGACAAGGACATGAGTTTGTACTTTACGCTCTTTGAGACGATCGCCCTCTTCGTCACCTGCTTCGTCGTCAACTTTCTTGTTCTCGATGGCCGCAGCAATTACCTTGAAGGCGCGCTGCTTTGTGCGGCGTATGTCATTATCGCTGTTGCCGCCTTCTTTTACCCCGATAGCGGCCAGTCAAGCGACCTGGGGTCCGCTGGCTAGATGTTTGACGGTCGCGATGACCGGGTAATGTTATCGTCCTGGTAAAATGAGTTGCTCGGCTCAACAAGATCAACGGTTCGTCACGAAGCGAGGGATACGATCTCACCTAGCTCAGCTTGAATGCAATGAGATTCGAAATTGGTTATCAAATTGTCTTTTTCCTCCATTTATTAAGTTCTTTTTCTTATCTAGTACTTTTTTGCAGCAGAATGGAATCAATGGAATATCCGTTTGATCAAAAATATATTTGTACTTGACTCCCTTCTTCCTCGTTCTCAATCTATGTTAACCTACTCGTTGGACAAAAAGAGCATGAGATTCGATGGATTAATTAAAGAACTACTCAGTAGGATGATCACTGTCAGGCAATGACTATAAGCACTTGCCTATCAAACGGCCGTAGAAACTACTAGTAATGTTGATTCCGAGCCATGGTGCAAAGGCCTTCCGACAACCAACATCATGAATCCCCTCAGTTCGTAATGGCCAGTGTAGTGAAAGCAAATAAATAAATAAATAAATAAATCATCAATACCGCGAATCTATCCTTTATATAAATTTCCGCAAATATCACCAAAAGACCTACTGCAACCTATCAAACCCCAACCCCTCCCACTTCGCAAGAACCTTCCCCTTAACATCCTCACCATACGACTCCCTAAAATCCGCAGCCTCCCAATTCCTCTTCCCAGTTGTATACTCAACCTCCAAGAGCGCATCAGACACAACCTTCCCCCCTCGAACCGGCGACCGCCCATCCGCCTTCCCACCATGCCCATTATACGGGATCAGCGGGAACGCCCGTACATCGTCGAAGAAGACCTCGTCGACGCCGGGCTTGCATCTCGTGCTAAACGCCCACATGACAGCTTTATCATCGTAGACGTCGATGTCCTCGCCGACGAGAACGAGGCGGTGGATCGTGTAGCCTGCCTTGTGGTTGAAGATTAGATCGCCGATTTTCTGGCAGAGGTCTTTGGAGCTTGTTTTCAGGGCTGGGAGTTTCGATGTGTCGATGCGCAGCGCTACCCATGTTACTTGGGAGATGAAGGGGGAGAAGGCGTCCAGGACGGGCAGGCCGGCTTTTTTGCACAGCTTGCCGATTTCGGCGGCGGCGAGGGCGCCGATCATTGTGTGCTGTTTGGATGATTAGTATATAGAAAGGGGATGGGATGGGATGGGATGGGTGGGAGGGTCGCGTACGGTTTCATCGGTTAGTTTGCCGCACGAGCTCATTGGGAGGATGGCGTTGTTGCGGTAGGTGATCTTGTTGACTTTGTATTTGGGGCAGATGTGTGCGTCGCCGGGGAAGATATAGCTTTTGCTGCGTTAGTATGGATCTCTGAACCCAGAGTGGATGGAATACTCACCCGTGCATCTCACCAAATGGTCCCTCCGGTCCAGTCTCTGTGATTGACAGCGTGCCCTCAAAGACAATCTCCGAGTTTGCGGGCACATAGATATCGTTCGTGTCGCATTTTGTCAGCTCGATGGGCTCGCCAACCATGGCGCCAACATACTCGGCCTCAGTCACGCCATCGGGAATCGGCATGCTGGACGCCATGATGGCGGCCGGGGGTACACCAAAGGCCAGAGCCCAAGGGACATCACGGCCCTCTTTCTTCCACATTTGGTGGATCTGCCAGAGGTGCTGGGGCTCGATGACGAGGCCGGTCAGGTGGTTTTTGTCGTGGACCATGGCGCGGGCGATGGACCAGTTTGTCCACTTGCCGTCAGGGGATTGCACGATGTGCATGCCTTACATGTCAGTTAGCATAGGGTAGAAGGGAATACGAGAAGTGTTTACCAAAAGTTTGGATATAAGCACCGCCATCTGACTTGTGAATCATGGGCGCAGGCAACTTTGTGAGATCGATCTCGTCACCCACGAGGGTATTCTCCTTGCACGGTCCGGTTGGGACAATGCTCGGTGGGAGTGGAGGCAGCTGATCGGCTTCCAGCATCTTATCCAAGATCTCCCTCATGCTTGCAGTAGGAGGCAGAGCCAGATGGCGAGCTAGGCGGCCATATCGTTCCTTCGAACCCTTGCGGAGTGATGCCGGTGCACCAAGGATGCGGAAGAAGCCATCCTTAGCCCCGATCAGGTTGTTGAACAAGGGCGCCTTTTCGTCATTCTCGCAGACGAGACGGGTGATTGCGGCGGCTTCGAGGTTCGGGTCAATGGGCTCGTTGATCTCGACGAGGTCGTTGTCCTGCTTGAGGGCCTCGACGAAGGAGCGGAAGCAGAGGTGTGGTGCGGTGGAAGACATGTTGATAATTGAGTTAGTGAATCTGTTTTGGTTAGCTGTCTCTCCTAGGAGAGGCCTACGTTATATAGCATAGCCATCTCCCGAGTGAGCCGTGAGGCCTCTTACCATGGAATGCTGCTCGGCTCGGGAGCTCGGAGGCTCGGACATAGCACGGCAAAAGTGCGATGTGATCATTGGATCCACCGCGGTATCCTGGAAGCTTCGAAAATCACTCATCCCTGTAAAGTCCGACACCATGGATTGCTAGAGAGATCAAGCTTTCCCGACGAGCTGGTAAGCCGATCGTTGTAGAAAGATGGCCAGTAGCACGCGTAGGACGGAGTGGACGCCGGCCCCATCACGTGACCGGGACTCGCCTTCCGGATCGGGTCCGCCACGACGCGTCCCCTCGACGCAACTTCGCTCGGACACAGCGGATCTAAGCTCCAAACTGCTAGAACGTCATACTGCGAATTAAACGATATAGGGGCTTAGTTTGGCTTCCACTACACGGTCCATGCGCGAACCCATGGACGGCTTACAATGGACCGCTCTCCGAACACGGTCGAACGCCAGGAGATCGATCGCGTCCTTCGGCTGAAACGCAAGCAGCGCGAGTCAAAGGCATGCTATCCCTGTCGTCAGCGCAAGGTCAAATGCGATGGTAGTCAGCCCTGCCGTACGTGCGTCAAGCGAGACCATCCCGAGATCTGTGCCTACAATGTCGAGAAAGACACTCCTCGGAGAAGAACGCAATCCCGACAGGTTGATCGGAGAGAAAGTCCACGCCATGATGCTGCTGTATCGGTTGCCTCCCCAGCCAGTGCTGTTCCAGACGCACAGCTGTCCCCTTTACCCCTCGGAGACCCTCGGAGCTCGGCGCAGCCAAACGATACCTCGTCGTATGTCTTCTCCGGAGATCACTCGCTTGTCTCTATGCTTCGGCAGCAGGATCCCGATGGGGCTATGGCTCGCGAAGCGACGTCGGTCTTGGGCCTGCATAACACGTACCTGAGCTACCCGTTCATCGAGTCAAAGACGCCGCAAGATCGATGGGCGGCTCTTTTGGATATACTCCCTCATAGGGATGAGGTTTTGAAGTACGTAGTTTCATTGCGTGTAATGGCACAGGCTTACATGGCAGATTCTTCCATTATTATCGTATATGTGCCTATCCTTTCAACCCAATCCTTGTCGACGTCGACAAGTTCGAGTCGGACATATGCATTTACCTCAGTGCGTATGCGTCGGGTGAACTGGCTGATCGGGATAAGATTTCTGAGCAGTGGTCGACGGGAAAGGCTGTTGGCCATATTAGTCTTCTTCTGGCGACACTGTCTGCCGGTGCTCACTTCTCTGACCTGGAGAACCCCCAGCGCTCGGAGCTGTGCCAGGATTTCGGTGAGTTCCAAGCTTGATCGTCTACTACTCAGTCTCCGATACTGACCATGCCAGCTCGCCGCTCCTTCCAGGCTCTTCGTCTGGCCAACTTCCTCTTTCGGCCTTCTCTTGATGTTGTTCAATCGCTCCTTATCCTCGGTAACACTCTCCAAAACAATGGCCAATCCGATGCTGCCTGGGCTCTGCTGGGAACGACAGTGAGATTGGCCCAGACCCTGGGACTGCATACGGAGAGGGGTATCGCACACTGGCCTGAGCATGCGAAGCAGAAAGCCAAGTCTCTATGGTAAGTGTCTTCGCGTATCCGGGGCTATGTCTAACACGTCCAGGTCGATGACGGTTTGGCAGGACAGCCTGTTAAGCCTGTGCTATGACCGCCCACCCATCGTTTCTACGAGAGGATGGACGCCGGATGCCCAGAGCTGGTCTCAGCTATCATATACCAACTTGATGCATTACCTTTGCTGGATCGCATTGGGCATAATCAAAATGCAAGAAACTCCGGAATCCGAACCAACTCAGAACCTTCAGTTACTATCTGAGCTGGACAGCTCGTACTCTCGGGCTCAGCCGCATCTTTTGCACCGTGAGAGTTGCAGAAACCTGCAGCAACATCTCGAGCATCTCGCCTTGCGCATGCACGTCTCATTTTGCGTTTCTGCGCTCTGTCGGCCGGCCATCAAGACCTCTCTGCAGTCCCCTGATGACCCGCGCTACGTATCTCTCAGAACCCGCGCGAGGGAGAGCCTTGTTATTGCGTCGAAAGCCTTCCTCGACTTTCAAGCCCTGAGTGTCGTGCCCTTACGCACTTGGTCCATGGTCCATACGGTCCTCAGCTCCACTTTGCTGCTTTGTACCTGGCAGGAAACGAGGGAAGACACTGAGTGCAGAGACCTGCAGCAGAAAGTTATCGGTGTGTTCTCGGGTGCCAACGGAAAGGACACTGGGTCCTCGGAGTACAGTCAGTGGTTATCAGCACGCCATATCCGCGCGTTGATTACTCTACGGCAAACTTTGAAGCAACGTAGTTCTCAGGTAAACACTGACTTGAATCCCGAACAGAGACCTTCCGCAGCCCAACTCCCGAACCCGCCATCTGGCGACGTGCCTCCGGATGTTATGTTTGGTGACCTCTCATCATACAATGACTTCTTTCCCGGACTGGCATACGGGTGAGTCTGTCCCAGCTATTGGATTCTACTGCAAGTACCGGCTGACTTTTAAAGTTTACCCAGCGAAGTCGATTTCTCGCCGGTGACTTACCTAGACTCCATCATGAATGGTGAGTTTTGAAGATAGACGGTGTCCTTCGTTAACACTAACGGGAGCAGTTCCGCTGTTTAACTACACCGAGAGCTGAATCTCGACCGTTTGACCCCGTGCTTCACTCTACCGAACTGGCCTCGTTGTAGTGGGTCCTGACCGTTCCGTTTGTGCCGTGCCGTCCTTCAAGACCCAGTTCGGAGGCTCGGATGTCCCTCGGCAACGATTGCTCGGGGCCTCGGGGCTCGGTCAGTCCCAACCAGCCATTCAACAAGCCTCGCACAAGCTTTCTTGGACCTTGTCCACAAGTAAATCCACGATTCCATTAAGCTGTTGTCGCCACAAAGTTGGAACCGTCTTGCTATTTAGAAGAGCACCGTCCACCAGATCGATACCTCAACATTAACCGACCAGTACATCACGAATACATCTCTATCCTGCTCGACCGACATCGACTGGGCTAACAAAATGCTATCCAACTTTCTCCACGGTAACAGTAACGGGACAGTCACACCGCACTCCATGCATCAATCTCCCGACGCATCAGACTCCGAGATGGCCGCCGACAAAGCCACAACATCCGCACCAAAACAGAGCAACCCGCCACCCCGCCGCAAGAGAATCGTCGTTGCAATGACCGGCGCAACTGGCGCTCTAATGGGCATAAAGATTCTCATTGCGCTGCGCCGCCTGAACATCGAAACCCATCTCATTATTAGTAAATGGGCCGAAGCAACAATCAAGTACGAAACGGACTACCACCCATCAAACGTCAAAGCACTAGCCGATCACACGTACAACATCAACGACATGGCGGCGCCTGTATCAAGCGGGTCTTTCAAGACCGACGGGATGATCATTGTTCCTTGCAGTATGAAGACGTTGGCTGCTATTCATTCGGGGTTCTGCGACGACCTTATTTCGCGTACGGCAGATGTTATGCTCAAGGAAAGACGGAAGTTGGTTCTTGTGGCGAGGGAGACACCTTTGAGTGAAATCCATCTACGGAACATGCTGGAGGTTACGAGGGCCGGTGCTATCATCTTTCCGCCTGTGCCGGCGTACTATATTCGGCCGAGCTCTGTTGAGGACCTCGTGGATCAGAGTGTCGGGAGAGTCTTGGACCTCTTTGATCTTGAGACGGGGGATTTTGAGAGGTGGGAGGGGTGGAAGAAGGAATAGCTGATTGGAATGTATCTTGTTAGTTTGGTATACCCTTGTAATCCAAAGCATTCTGTACTCTATTTTTACTATTGGCTGGGAATGGGAAGTATTGTTGTCTGCATGCTGTTCGATACCGCTAGACCATAAAAACCAATTGGCTATAGGCAATTCCTTATACTCCAACACATGCCAGGGCCAGCGCTGGATATGGATAGCAGCGTTGGCGTGCTCGGTATACCGGCATATGTCATACCTTGTTCCAGTGTCGACTTGGAGGTAATCGGGCAGTTCGGCTTCGGCGTATCTCGGGGCCTTGGAGATGCTCGGAGAAGTCGGCAATGCGCTGCTCTTACCCCTCACTGCGGATGGAGTTCCGGATGTTGGGGTGGATATATTAACCTGGCATCCGGGGAAGACAGGCAGACATTCTTCTGTCATCTTTTTCCGTACAATAATCCGACACCATGTACTACGAGCCCGGCGTCACCGACCATGGCCTCCCCCATGATCCATTCAAGGTCTGTCCCCTATATAGGGTTCCTACCATTACCTCCTCAAGCACACAGTGAACGCTGTACCAACGATATCAGGCCTGCGTAATCCCCCGCCCAATCGGCTGGATCAGCACAAAGTCCCCCTCAGGCCAAGCCAACCTGGCCCCGTACTCCCAATTCAACAACCTAACCTTCGACCCGCCGTACGTAATGTTCGCCTCGAACCAAACCCCGCAGAACAGCCGCAAAGACACCGTCGTGAACATCGAAGCAACCGGCCACTTCGCCTGGAACCTAGCCACATACCCGCTCCGCCACGCCGTCAACATCACCGCCGAGCAAGTCCCCTACGGCGTCGACGAGTTCGACCGCGCAGGTTTAACCAAGGAGCAGGCGAACGCTATTGACGTCCCCATGGTCAAGGAGAGTCCGGTCAAATTCGAGTGCGTGTATCATTCGACTATCCGGCTGCCTGGGAATCCGCCCATGGGGACTGTCGATGTTATTATTGGGCGTGTGGTCGGCGTGCATATTGATGATGGGGCGCTGGATGAGAGGGGGTGCTTGGATGTGGCTAGGACGGAGCCGATTGCGCGCTGTGGGTACTACCAGTATGCGGTTGTGAGGGAGACGTTTGAGATGGTGATCCCGGGGATGAGTGGGGATGTGCTGAAGGGGCTTGAGGGGAGTGCGAGGGGGAATCGGGAGTTGGAGGAGAGGAGGAGGGATGCAAAGCTTGAGAGTGAAGTGGAAGAAGGGGGCGCGGCTGTGGGGAAGTAGGTAGGGCATGGTAGACCTGGATAGAGACGTGTTGGTTGTCCATATATTTCCAATCGGACATCATCATACAATACCCTGGCAAACGAACCTGATCGCTTCCAACCCTCCCATTCTGGAAAGTATCCCCGTCCGGTACGGCCGGGACATCTGGACATCAAAGCTTCCAGTCGGGTAGTGGATGCCCAGCGCAGCCGACTGCGTTGCCTTTTCTCCGAGTCTTTCCAAATAGCATCGTCCAGGTAACATCTCTGGGGCATGGCTTAGTTTCGGTATGCTCCATTCCGATGCTCACCAGGCATAAGATAGTACACTTTCCGCCCACCGCCATAATGATATTTGGCCCCGGCGCGTAAGATAACCAGGAATCGCTCAACAGAGCCAGAATCAACCTCGTCGGACCTTGGAAGACGACGGTATGGCTACCAGGATTGTAGGCAATTGGTGCAGCGTTCAACACATTGCACGGTGGACAGTTCGCAGGAGATACGCTACCCGACCCCTAGGGCCGGACCCTCGGTAATGCGCAGACCTCCAATGCCGAGAAGAAGTCTCTAGAGTTGGAGAAGCCTGCCACCACCTGCAGTAGAGGGCGATAAGGGCAATGCAGGGACTAGCGGGTGGCGCAGCGTAGCATTCAGGTGGGGGCTTCTTTGGCCGTGCAGCTGCAGCTGCAGCTTTAGTATTGGAGCTAGGGCTTCACTACAGCTCTACATTTGCCCATGGAACTTGGCGTTGGAGCACATCTCGCCGAGCTGCTATGCCCTGTCCTGTTTTCTACGGGTACTTGAAGTGCACGGACGAAATTGGTCACTGGCTCATGGTGCCTTGTATGCTACGGGAGGGTAGGTAGAGATATACAACAAAGCTCCCAACAAATAATGCATTCTCACTATCAACTACTATCCACAACCCCCACCGCACCCAACCATCTGCCTCAGTCATCTCCATCTCACAAGCAGCAATCCGCAACAAGCATGGCAGCCCCTATCTAAGAAGGAGGAGCACCAGTAGGGAACCCAGTAGGAACACCAGTGGGCGCCTCGCCACCAGGGCCACCAGGGCCACCACCACCGCCCATACCAGAGTTCGGGTTCTCGACACCCCCATCCTCAGTCAAGTAAGCAGCGGGCGTAACATCGGTACTCTGGCTGGAGTCGATAACAACATTGATCCAGGCAAAGATGCCATCGGTGACGTCCTCGCCCAGCAGCACATACTCAACAAATGGGTCGATGTCATCGGCCAGCTCCTGGGAGAGGATGCTGTCGTCCGCGTTGGTGGTGAGCTCCTGGGTGTTGGTGTTGTAGACGTCGCTGGCCTCGACGAGCGAGATGAGGTCCTGGTCGAAGAAGATCTGGCCGACGTGCGAGGAGGTCGTGGTGTACAGGCCCGAGAGGGTGTCGTTGTCGTTGGTGGTGGTGTCGGCCGGGTGGGAGAGCACGTGGATGTGGGTGGCGCGGCCGGTGTAGTGGCCTGGGAAGAGGGTCTCGAACTCGGCGACGCCCGACGTGTCGGTCTTCTGGATCCCGCGGAGGAAGGTGGCGTCCAGGTTGGTCTCGTCGCTGGTGTCGCCGTTGCCGCTGGCCACGACGCCCGAGTACACGCCGGTGGAGTTGCAGTGCCAGAAGTCGAGGTAGACGTCCGGGACGGGTTCTGGGTTATGTTAGTACACCAGTGGAGATGAGGGGAGGAGAGTGCGGACCGCAGGTCTCGGAGTCGACGAGCTGGATGTCCAGGTAGAGGGGGACGCCCTCCTGGTCCTCGACGAGGTTCTTGCGGATCAGCTCGCCGGTGACGTCTGGGCGGGTTAGCTGGTTCTCTGGTTCTCTGGTTTGTATGGATTGGACGTACAGTAGGGGCCCTGGGTGACGTCCTCGGCGAGGACACAGGCGCCGCCTGAGGCGAAGAGGACGGAGGGGTCGGTGTCGATGTCCACGGTCAGGTTGGACTCGTGGCTGGTGGTCAGGGGGGTGGTGTCGCGGGCCTTGAGGAGGGGGCCGGTGAGGCCACGGGCCTGGCGGATCTTCTGGAGCGAAGCGTCACGGCGGGCAACGCTCTCGGCCTCGACGCCCCGGGCCTTGAGCTGGGTGGCGCACTGGCTCAGGCCACGGGCGCGGATGGACTTGAGGGCAGAGGCACGCTCAGCGGCCTCAGCCTTGACATCGTGGCCGGGGTGGGCGGAGACGACGGTAGCCAGACCGACGGCGCCAGTGAGGAGGGTAGAGAGCTGGACCATTTTCAGAGACAATACTGTGAGAGGAGAGAGAGTTGAGAGTTGAGATGGATGATGGAGTCAGTGGGAGGACGAGAGAGGCCTCTTTATATGTGTGCCAGCTGACGGAATGACGAACAGATAAGTCGAGATTGCTCGAATAGATTGATGCAGCGAGATACAACGTCGCCTGACCCACAGTCTGCACGCTTCAGCCACGGACTCGTCGGAAACCCCTGGTGGAAGGGCACGACTGGAGCAGCCGGCGTCGGAGTGCCTGAGCCACCATGCAGGCTAGCACAATAAGCTTGTTTTCATATGGAACCTGTCCTGTCGATCGCTCCGCTGACGACGCTCTCTCGCTGAGTTTGGTTCAATCTACAGAGTATCTACCTCAGATACTCTGGTACGGAGACAAGGGAATGAATTCACCAGGTCGATATCTATACTGGCATTCTGTCCCAGAGCCATCACAACCACCACGCTTATCACCACCAGTACTAGCCAAACGTGCAAAGCGCACGATGAAACGTCAATAAAGCCAGCGTAGTAATAATCCAAGCCCCATTGGCCACAGCCCTGCAAGCCCTCGTTCAACAAGCACCCCAAGACGGCGACCCCCCACAGTACGCGCATCCCGCTTGGCGTGATGAAGTCCGCCCCAGTGTCGACGCAGTCTCCGCCGCGCCTGATTCGCACAAATCACAAACCCGGAATTAGCAGGTCGGAGAGTCGGAATTAGCAAGCCCTATGCACCCTGCCAAGGCCCGGGATCGACAGCCCCTTGCCCCGGATAGTATAGTCCTCGCCAGTCTCCCTGCCTTGGCCGCGTACCAGCGCCCTTGGCAGCTCACTTTAAGCTTGCCGATTCGGGCCTCTTCCGGGCCTTGACTCGCTCGGCCGCCAACGAGACGTCTTGGGTTGCAAATGTGGTCGTCGTCGGTTGTGGGTTCTGCACACTTGCCGGGCCGAGGTACGTACCTTTACTACGGTTGGCTTGACTGACAGTTACTATTCTAGACTGTCTTCACTCCTACCAGCAGTTGAGCACCGAGATGAGGATGTGGGCCCGAAGTTCACCCGCACATCGAGTCGAATTTTCGAGACTCGGGAGTCGGATCTGTGATCTGGCTGAATTCCGATCTCCTCCGGATTTATATTTTATTTTTGGCTTGTTCGCAGAAATGAACATATCCTTCTAGAATACGTGTATCTTGCGGATGTGGCGTACGGAGCAAGCGACTACACCGAGTAAGCAGCCACCCTGCAGTGGATGTTAGCTTATCTTCAAGGCCCTGGCCGTTGTCAGAATATAGTGTGTAAATGCAGGATCCTTGCACCTGCAGGTGCAGATTATCAAGATTGTGACCCTACGGAGGACGAACCGTATCTGGCGATGGCGTCTTCCCTGGCAGACATGTTGCACTCGAGGTGCCTACATAGAATGTTGAACACTGGTGCTGAGACTCACTCAGCGGCATGGCACTCTGTTACTCGGTGTTTCTTTGCCCAGGATCCATGTAGCTGGAGGTAGTGTAACATGCATCACATAGAAAGGGACGATGGATACAAACGCCTGCGCCCCCAATATGACGTCTCAGCATGCTCCGCTCTCCACAGACACACGCAGCGCTTAGACTCAACTCACAATTGATTGGTTCATCCTGTTGCTCATGGCAAGCGCTAACCGCTGGAACCAAGACAGCCACTTACGACGGCGAAATACCTAATCCAGACACGCAGGATCCCACACGCCACAGTAAGGTGCGAATGTGCATCTCAGTACCTCCCCCGACGTAGATCTAGTTAGGCAAGAAACATATAATCAAACTGTGTTCGAACAGCTGCTACGGACCCCGTAAAATAGTGTATGCTTTATACCTTGCTTGGTTTCTTGCTTCATGGACGCTGCCTCCGAACAACTGATGGACTCGATAGTGGTATGTTTTCGACGAAGTAGATACCAGGGTCTAAGGTTCTTAGCGGCAGCGTAGAGTAGTGCCCAGGTAGCCCATTTTGCTTCGTGTGCCGTTCGTACAGAAGGAGGTTGCAACAAGCACTAAGCAAGCAATCTAGAGTACCCTAGATTGCCTTGTTGTCTTCCCGTCTCTGTACGTGGTTTGGCTTGACTTGGCTTGGCCGCATTTCAGCAGGGCTGTGTATCTCTCCGGGATACATTACTGCAGTTACGCGTCGCCCAATCTATACGATTCAAGGGGCACGGCAGCCCTGTGAAGGGGCAATTGTTCCGTCTTGGAAGTTATACCACACTCCGCGGGTCTGTGGAGGGCGCAGAAATCAAGACTGGGCTAGGTATTGCAGCTGGTTTGCCTCGAGGCAAGTCGCCTGTACAATCACTTGGATGGGCCATGAAGCTGGCAGGGCTTGTATTGGAACCACGACGAAGCAGTTGACTGGAGGACAGATAGATCGGAATAGCAAAGGAGGCATATACTAACATAAATACCGGCGGCCTCCCTCTCTACTCGCAGTCTACGCTAAGCACCGTCCAAGATGTCCCACCGGGGAATCCCTCACATTGCGGTGTGCAGTCCGGAGCACTCCGGGCATTCGATCCCGACCCCTGCACTCGGTACGGAGTATTTTGATAGAGGCTAAAGCGGAATGATCCATGTTTCCACTGCTATAGGGAAACCATGACAAACAAGTAACCTCTCACTGGCGGAACCCGACAGCCCCGGCGACTGCCATTCTGCAATGCAGGGGTGATCAATCTGAGCCCCGTGGACGCGTCGCCTGCTCCTGCAGGATCCGAGACCCGGCTTACTTCTCCGCATATGTGTCTGCAGGTAGTTGGCGCGGACAAAAGATATACTGACAACTGATTATTGCATCCGTTCTACCAACAAATAGAATCTGGAAAAGTTAATCCCAGCGGTATAATCTCCTTGCCCAACAGAGACAGCCCGGTGCCATTTTTCAGCAATGGACTTCCTTAACGCCTCCACGTTAAAAGCCAAATTGCGAACGCAGAGTAATGGGTATGAGCGGTCCTAGTTTATAGGAGAAGGTGAGTCCCATGACCGGGCTGAGAAATGTTCAGCAAATTGGGGTTGCCGTGTTGGCCCTCCGCGGAACAAATCCACTTCGAGCTTCCAGGAAGGCTACCTATGTTCACAGTTCATGGGATATCTGGATGATCAGCTGGTTCTATTGTTCCCTTTCGCCACGGGCTTCGCAATTCCGCTCATTCTGACGTCCTAAGGGCGTATACTGCGAGCCTCCCTGAGGGCAAAGACGGGTAGCTCCGGTATACGCGGGTGAGCTGTTCATATCCAAGAACTGTAGTACTATACCGGCATGAATTTGATCGAGTCAGAATAAGAATAAGTATTACCAGTATAGTGGCTGGATTGAATAAGGTAACCGTTGGTCAACAAATAGAAGGTCTATCATTGCCAATCGCATTTACGGTATACCTAAGTGAAGCGCAGGAACTTTTCCAATCTATACAGATGACATCTCTGTGCTGTGAGCCCTTTCTGCTCTCTCATGTAAACATACCTAAGCTGTAGTCTGTGTGGTTTAATATTTCGAGCGCACAGACCAAAGACAAGGTCCATTGTCCAAACTTCTTGTGAACACAACACTACCTAAAGTACTTTACACTGGCTAGGAGCCCGGGGAAAGGGTCCCTTTGCGATGCAGTACAGTCCATGGTTGCGAGGAAAGTCTGCCATGACGCCTGTCCTAGAAATTTGATTCAAGGTCCTTCCAAGGTTGGTCCGAGCCTATAAGTGCCCATTTTTGATCCTCAGTCCTGCAAGGCGGGAGATAATGAAGTCCATGCAGAGTACCAAAAGATGTATGTCAGTTTTGACTCGACACAAGCAGCTCAGCATGTTATATGCTGTCTGAGATTGTGCAAGAGATTCCATCCACTTACCTCCACTTTTCGAGTTCATTCTCGGCACGGTGCTCATCTTACCTGGGCATGCTGGATAGCTTCGAGTTCCCGAGCCAGATACTGGTGTCGCTTGGAGCTGGGACTTGTTTTTAATAACCTTTATTTGTAAGCTTGCCGAAGGGAATTTCTCATTACGAGTGCGAGTGCAGCCGGTACAGCATGGACTCGCTATTGTGCTTGTTTCTTATATCATCGCATGGATTTCTTGTACGGAGGATTGTCTCGGAGCGCTTTGAACGGGCGGAGTTTGATTCGCGTTACCGGACAAGCTGTCCACTGCGTGGGTTTGGTGTTACCTACAGTGCTCCCACATGGTCAACTCTGGAAAAGAAGCGGTGGTGTGGCCCGAAGGCGTCTGCAACTGGTTGGGGACGGAACCAGCAGGGTAAGAGTATGTAGGGAGAATCGAAGAAGAGTGATGAAGAATGGATGGGGTAGCTGGAAGAGGACGTAACCAGCAGAAGCAGGAGGAAGAGCATTTAAGGAGAGCTGGAGGATGGCGGAACCAGCAGGGAAGCGAGAAAGTGTTAAGACCCATGCCCGTCCCTGCCACCCACCAGGACATGCGAATATGTATGAAGGGTGGGAATTAAAAAGGGGTTGTGCCGGAGGAGATCAGAACCAGCAGGCAGAAGAGGTGCGTGGAAGTGGTATGGCCCATGCCCGTCCCTGCCTCCCATCCAGGGCATGGTGAAGAGGGGAAGGTGGTGATAAGGATAGAGAAGGGTGGGGGCAGAGAAAAGGGGAGAATAGGAAAGGGAAAGGTGGGAAGGAGAAAGAATATGAGGAGAGGTAGGAGGTGGAGATAGGGAGTAGGAAAAGGTAGAAGGAAGAGGAAGAGAAAGAGGAAGAGGAAGAGAAAGAGGAAGAGAAAGAGAAAGAAGAAAAGAAAGAGGAAGAGGAAGAGGAAGAGGAAGAGAAANAAAGAGGAAGAGGAAGAGAAAGAGGAAGAGAAAGAGAAAGAAGAAAAGAAAGAGGAAGAGGAAGAGGAAGAGGAAGAGAAAGAGGAAGAGGAAGAAGAAGAGGAAAAGGAAGAGGAAGAGAAAGAGGAAAAGGAAGAGGAAGAGGAAGAGGAAGAGAAAGAGAAAGAAAAAGAGGAAGAGGAAGAGGAAAAGAAAGAAGAAAAGAAAGAGAAAAAGAAAGAAAAAAAGAAAAAGAAAGAAAAAGAGAAAGAAAAAGAGGAAGAAAAAAAGGAAAAAAAAAAGGAAGAAAAAAAGAAAGAGGAAGAAGAAAAGGAAGAGGAAGAGAAAAAAAAAAAGGAAGAGGAAGAGAAAGAGGAAGAAAAAGAGGAAAAGGAAAAGAAAGAAAAAAAGGTATTAGGAAAGGGAGAGAGTTAGGAGGAGAGAGTTGTAAAGAAGAGGGAGAAACAACACCAAAGCCAAGGTTAAATAAGTCTTTCAGGGTTGGCAATAACTAAGCAGCTGTGGTGATTTATAAGAGAGAACTTGACAGAATAATCCATGGATTGGTAATTCAAGATAGGGTTCGAGGATGGAGTTGCTGGGACAGAATTCCGCAACTTTGATGGACAACTAAAAATAGAGCAAGTATACCGGAAACAAGAGACAGCAAAGCTTTGTCAGGGCACGGCCCAGGGACCCGGAACCTTCAATATTGAAAGATGTCATGAGGCCATTGAGACTAAAGGCTGACAGGCATTTCCAAAGAAGAGGGAGCTCGTTATGGCGGAGCCAGCGGTGGCACGGGCCGTACCTAGGTGCCGCGAGTGTGACAATGACTGTAGATACGTAAAATGAATCCTGATGGATTTCTCAGATCCCGCTTGTCCCGGGGTCGGCACGTCGAACCTGTCTATCTGCCCATTTGCTAAATCCAATCTGCTTTTCTGGCTAGCGAGGTATAGAAGACGATGAAGCAGGGTCTGGAGGGCGTACTGCGGTAGGCTTTTCCGGGGCGTTCTGCGTCTTCTTATCCTTTTGCTGCAGGGTAGGCATAGCAGAAGTCGTATTTGGCTGGGCCCAAATCACGTCTTGATCTTAGCCTCTACTATCATTCAATTTTGTTGAGGTGTGGTTTCGTTTCCCGCAACTAGGTAGGCAGACGCGCTTTAGCACGGGGCGTATATAAAGGTCAAATATAACCTCTCTGCTGTAACCGTTGCTGTAACCATCCAAATATCAGCTAGAGTGCCCAATCGCCTTGCTTCACACAGCAAGGAACGCCTGCCAAGCGGTGCTTTTACTGTTTTATCTGCCCGAAGCTGACTGACGATGAATCCGAGCAGAGTTTCCTTAGAGCGAGACCGTCTCAGCGCATCGAAGGGGATGGAATAGCTTGTCCTGGGAACCTGGCTCATTCGATCACGGAAGCCCCCTAGCTCTTGTTCAGATTGAATGTCAAACTATCCCGCGGTCAGGAATGTCTTCTGCGGAGTCCCTATCTCCGTATAACTCGTACGTTAGAAAACCCGATCCAGGTTCGTGCTGTGTCTGACAGAGCTGCGTGATATCATGGCAGCAAAGGGCCACCTTTATTTCCGTGTCTTGGTTTGAGGTGGGAAGGAACAGAGAGCCACATTCTATTCGTGGACCTGGGATTGCCTGTGACTCGACCCATGATCAAGAGATGACCATCAAGAATAGTAGTATTCGAGATTTCCGACTAACAGTGGCGCGACTGGGACCTAGTTGGGAATGAAGCAGAGGCGCAGAACCCCTGTTGTTGTTTTGCTTCGCGGCAAATGGGAAAGGCTTGGATAAGACCATTGTGTAGAGCGAAGAAAGAGGTGACGGCGATGACAGACAATAAGTCCAATAATAACTCATACTACTTGTGTATGGTATAGTGGTTGTAAGAGATGAGACAGAGGAGAGGAGAAAGTGGTTGCCTAGAGAATCAGGCAAGAATCAGGCAGCAGCCAGCCAGATTAAGCGACGGACACTAGTCCCGATAAGGTTCAGGGGTACATGCCAGCCAATCAGCCAATCAGCGTGCTCAGCCTCCCGGCCACCGGAGCAACGGACCCGATCGATAAACACAACTCAGCCATCGTCATCACCATCAAGCCACGCCGATCACCGTAAGCGCCTTGCATCTCATTCTCATCCATCCCATCATCTCATGTCCGCTCTGACGACACCTTCCCAGCGCAAAGCACCGCAGCCGGAAATTACTTGCCGTGGCGCCAATCAACACCACCGTCCGAATCTGAGTCAAAGCACACCGTCACCCTGCAGGAAGTCACACTGCACAGCCCCGACTAGCTACCTAACCGAGCTTACCTGCCTCGCCTTATCTCTGACTCGTCGACTCTGCTCTGGGCTGGACTGGACCCTGCCCAGGCCAGGCCGACTTATAACAAAAGAGCCTCCCCAGTTCCTCCAGCTCCGACGGGTGCTAACTTTCTTTTAGGTCCTTCCTTACCTATCGTAGGTAGATAGACAGCCGCAACATGGAGGCGCCATCTCCATGCAAACTATCCACCTGCACTACCCTCCGCATTCTCACCCTGTCCCTGTCCCTCCTTACATTCCTAACCTCCACACCGGCCCATGCCGCGGAATCGGCTATCACAGTTACACAACAGCATGAGCTTGCAGTCGCACCCCGCGCAACAAAACCCTTCTTGTTACGCGTCATGCCCCTCGGCGCCTCCATCACCGTCGGCTACCGCTCCTCCGACGGAAACGGGTACCGCAAGCCCCTGCGCGAGCAGCTGCGGTATGCCGGGTGGGAGGTCGACATGGTGGGCGGGTTGGCGAATGGGACGATGAAGGATAATGTAGCCCCCCATTCCTTTCCACTTCCAGACAAGACCAATAGTGCTTTGGTACGGCAGACTGTGAGTCTAATGCTAATTGACCGATGTGTAGCAAAACGAAGGCCACTTCGGCGACACAATCGACCACATCGCCGAAGCGGCGGTGAATTCCACGCGGATGCAGCCGAACGTGATCCTGATCAAGTGCGATACTAATCTCCCCCACCTCGCCATAAACATTCGCTAACGCGCCCAGCGCCGGCACAAACGACTGCATCCAAAACGTCAACATCCGCGACGCAGACACACGCCTGGACGCCCTAATAACGCACCTCTTCTCCTCCATCCCAAACACAACAATCATCCTCTCGACCCTGCTCCCCAACGACTTCGCCAGCGCCGCCGTGCACCGCGTCAGCCAAGAATACCGGAACCTGGTCGCGCGGCGCCGCAACGCCGGGGACCGCCTGGTCCTCGCGGAAATGGCCTACTTCATCACGGCCGACCAGCTGGTTGACGGGACGCATCCGAGTGATCGGGGGTATCGCGAGATGGCGAGTGTTTGGTGGGCTGCGATCCGCACGGCGGAGGAGGAGGGGAAACTGAGCGAGCCGAATGGGGTTGCGGGGGCGGTGCTGAAGGATCTGGTGGGGAGGAATGGGACGGCGGCGAGTGAGGGGCGCGGGTTGGATGATGGGCCCGTTGAGGATCCTGGGTTGCCGGTTTATAGGGCGCCGGCGCAGTTGGGGGGTGATGGGGGTGGGGATTCAGGGGCGATGAGGGCTGGCGATGGTGTGGGAGGGTGGGTGTGGGGGGTGCTTTGGGGATGGAGTTTGGGTGAGTTTGTTTTGTCCTGAAGGGAGATCTTTGAAAGATTTGGCTAACGGCCGCAGTAATGTGTTGGATGAGTTGAGGATTCGCATACCTGCCATACCATATATTGTACATGTGCACATAGACGGACATACGAACTCGCCGCACGAGTCACGACTTACGCTACCAAGACGGAATAGAATGCATTGAATGACATGATAAGTTCAATCCAATTCATGATTCTCGCAGATGGCAATGCTATGCTATGCTATGCTATGTACCATGGGAAATATGCCAGCCACACTAAATGCAGCAGATCTGTCGATCTTCCAGCCCAGGCATGTGGTCAAAAGGATTTAGGCGGATAGGGCAATCTCCCTCAACTTCGCAAAATCCGGCGTCCCCAGCCCCGTCACAGGATCCCACCCCTCCGTCGCATTCCACCCCGCAAACGGAATAACCGGAGACCCATTCGCCGAGCCCCCGAAGCGATTATTCCCATCGCATCCGGTACTCCCACCATGCACGATATCAGTCAGCCCATTCAACCCATCCTGGTAAAGCCAGGGGTTCAAGAATCCCAGAACAGGCAGTCCAGCGCGCAAACGCACATCGTTCAACAAGCCCACGACGCCCGCGAACACAGGCGAGGAGCAACTCGTCCCATCGTACAGCCCAACGCGCCCCTTATCAACGACCGCAAAGTTCTGCGCTTGCGCCGCGACGTCCGGGAACGCGCGGCCCGAGGCGTTGAAGTACCGACTCTGGTTCCCGCCGAGTTTCCGCAGGTACGAGGCCACGGCGGCGTCCTGGTACGCCGGGCGCGCCCAGTAGTCGCTGAAGCCGCCGGAGGAGAAATACACGGCGCTCTCGGGGGCGGAGCCGTTTGTGCCGCCGACGGCGGTGACCCAGGGACAGGCGGCCGGGAACTGGGGCGGGAAGTGCGTGGTGTTGGTGCCGTCGTTTGTCAGGCATGCGGCGCCGACGCCGGAGTCGCCGGAGGAGAAGAGGACCGAGACGCCGCGGGCGCCGAGCTGGGCGTAGAGGTTGCAGACGCTCCGCGCGTAGGTCCAGGGGATTGTCTGCTCGTCTTCGCCGTAGGAGGTCGAGATTACCTGGGGGAGATCGGACTGGGGCAGTTTGAGGATGGCGTGGAGGAACTCGAGGAAGGGCTCGTTGGAGTTGTCGTTTGGATCGGGGGAGGAGAGGTCCGGGACTAGACGGCCGCGGCCGGCGGTTGTGAATTCTGTTACCGGGAGTGGGGAGGAGACGCCGATGATGTATTGCAGGTCGAGGTTTGCTTCGCCGCTGTCTGAGGAGGAGTGCTGGTCGTTGAGGCCGCCGTGGATGGAGACGACGGAGAAGTTCTGCCCGATTGCGGAGGGGGCGTAGGTTTGCTCGAACTCGGCGAGGTCGTCGTAGCGCGCGTACTCCTCGAGGAAAGAGGCGAAGGCGACTTTGGAACCGCTGGTGTTGGACGCCTTGTAGCCCTCTGTGTTGTAGAGGTCGGCGAGACAGGACGGGGTGATGGCGCTATCGCAGTGGTCGAGGGAGCCCGAGGACACGGCGTTGATGAGCTGGCGGTTCGTCTCGAGGAAGATGGGCTTCGCGCGCACGGTCGCTTTGTTCGCGTGCATGCCGCCGAAGCGCGTGGTCGGCTGGATCATCTCGATGTGGCTCGCAATGGCATCGGGAACACCGTAGGAGAGGGTGCGGAGGGCACGGGTGTCTTTGCCGCTGGCGTCGGTGGCCGTGTACCAGAGGAAGTCGGCGTCGAGGAGGGAATTGGCCTGGTCGACGGTCGTGCGGAAGTTGATCCAGTCGGCGTCCTGCTCGTACTCGACGCCTGCGGCGCTCAGCCAGTCCTTGACAGACGTAGAAGCCTCGTCGGTGGGCAGCAGGAGCTCCTTCATCTCGTCGTAGGAGGCGAAGTGCTGGCCGTAGCTGGCGTGGCCCGGGGTGGACATGTCCAGCAGGGCCTGCTCGAAGCCGGCGACATTGTGTTGCTTCAGGGCGATGCGGAGGCGCAGGGGCTGGTTGGCGGAGGGGGTGCTGTCGTATCTCCAGCCTGTGTTGTTAGTAACACTCAAGTAAATGGAAAGAGACGTACCATCAGGAACAGCGTTCAAGCTCTCAAAAGCAGCGGCGGCGACCGAGGCAGAGAGGCCGGCCAGGGAGAGGGCGGTTACACGGGCGAGAGAGGACAGCATGGTGTCTGACTGTCTGGCTGTCTGACAAGCAGCGAGAGGAAGCTGGGATCGTCAGCACTTAAATAGGCGGCAAGGGGGAGAATGCCAATCCCGTGACATTCCTTCACTCAGCTCTTCCCTCACTATCTCAGCCCCACTGAGTGAATTGACAGGTTATCACCTGCCCTGCTTGTCCTAGGGGCGAGATTGCAGTGTCGCAGCGCTAATGTTAGTGGGCGATAGCAACGGGGGAGAAACAAGCAGCAGCCAATGGCCATCCCGCAGTCGGCTGTCCCGCGAACACGCTGGATTTAGCGTGTTGTTATACTAAAATCTAGTGGATACGTTGCCGCGACGTATCCGTTTTTTAGGTGTGCTAGGGTATGTACACCCAGTTTTTACTAAGGGTGGCAACAAAAGCTTGGCGCCGTGGCAACAGTAAGGTTATGTAACCTTAATGTAATATATACCTAAAATACGCTATATAGCCTGCCTAAGTGGTAGGTTGGCTTAAAGTACAGTAATATTACAATATTAATACTATAACAAAGAATTTCCACATACTTTACTCCTAATTCCAGCGTATCATCGCTGGGTGTTCATACTCTAGCATGTTGGCGAACCAGCCAACTGCGGGATGGGGTGCTTGTCTGGCTCACTGCCATTGCTTTGGCCTGCTGTGATTGGCCACCAGGCAATGATCGTCAGGGGCCCCGCTTGGCTGTGGGTCTCAGCCAGTGAATGGTCTCCAGTGAAAGCACTGGATGAGGGCTGACTAGGGTTGTACAATTTACCGTAAAGAATAATTCCTTACCCAAAATTGCTGACCGAGGTTCATTCATTACTGACGAAGTAATGAATCACGTGACATAAAAGTGGGTCTAAACTGA